TGAAATAGCCATTTAGGAATATGCTGTGAAGCCAGGCCTTACTTGCAGAGATCGATGAGTCCTCCTTATGTGTGTATGTGTGTCCACACGTACATTCAAATTGGTACATACAGTGGGATGTGACGTCATTTTTCGCATGTTCAAAGGGTTTAGATAGATATATAGGCTTCACATTCTCAATTATTATGATATTAGCTGCATAAAAAGTCTTTTAACAGCAGCGTTCAGTCTTTGTCTAGCTATCAAGCTGTTATGATGCTCCATATAGGGTAGCTTGATGTACACTTCTTTCTTCGCACTGAGTTGGAGAATGGGTCTTGGTGTTCTGACTACTTTACATCTCCTGATGAACTTGTCTGGATAATTGTTATAAACCAGAGCTAGTGTCAACTTTCTTTCTTCGTCATCAAATGTGTCTTCAGTGCATATTCGTTAGATTCTCCTGAAGAGGCATCTCACTCACTGAGTCTCTTTTGTACCGAACAGGGCAGAAACTGTGGTAATTAAGATACTGTCCTGTCCAGGTAGGTTTTCTATAAATAGATCGTTTTATTGACCCATCAAGCCGTTGACTAAATAATACGTCTAGGAAAGATAAAAAGTTGTCTTCCTCTTCTACAGATGTAAGTGATATGGTATTCTGAACTTCATTCATTCGATTTAAAATTGAGATGGCAGAAGAAGAATTATCACTTATGAATACAATACCATCTACATACCTTCTATAAAGTGGCGCATTTTCAATTAAATCCCCTGATAAACTGTCAATGTACGACATATAGATATCTGCTAAAAGGGGCCCTAACGGACTTCCCATAGCAACATTACACGATTCAGACAAATTACGTCCTCTTATTGCTTTATCTAAATTCATAAGGGGAAACTATTTGTTTCAAATTTTAACCTTATCAAATTTCTAACGCTTTCTTTCTTTTTGCCGTTGAGTACTCTGTGATTTTATAACTTATCTTTACTTTCAAAGCCACTTCTGAGTAATTATATCAATTATGCCCCTCCCCGCCTATTGCTTAGTTATAAACCTTAACTTGTTAACTGCCTCTAATCTCAGCATTCAATTTTTTAAACACGTTTTTATTCGCATTAATGTACCGGGAATGTAAGGTGTTCTAGATTCTGTGCTAAAAAAAAGCTTATTAAAACAGGGCATTTGCAGCAGTTATGAAGCTGCCAAAGTATCATTATTTGGTGGATGGTTATTATATATATATATATATATATATATATATATAATTATAATTATAATAACTGATTCTCTTTGCACGAGAGATGTCTCTTATGGTCCAAGTGGCCTAGTGTTGTCGGCAACTCGATAGAGACTGAAAAATCAAGATCTGGCATAATGAATCAACGGAAAATGTATAATTAAATTGAACTATGAAAATAATATACAGACACGGAGTTCCATTAAGCGGTGATTGAAGTAATAGAGAAAAAATGTTTAGCTCACTGCATGTGGGGGTGATGGGAACTGTTTCGATACTCTCCATACCTCTGATATTTTCTCCGGAATGTTTCATCAGCAGGTTTGATGTTATATGCTATATTGTTTATAGCATAATTGGTAATAATAAAAGATTATTATTATTCCCTTGCATTCCCAGTGGAACATAAGGCTTCCACAACACATCTCCACTTTGTTCTATTTTCCTCTGTCCTCTTCAGCTGGCTAGCAACACGATTTCTCATAATCTCTCATCTCCTCTTCCAACACACACGATCACCTCAGTGTCAACCTCGCACGGATGACCCAATCGTCGCTTCCTATTCGGATTCCACTCGACGGTCTGACGCTCGATGTCATTCGGCGGCCTCCTCAACGTATGCCAGATCCATCTCCATTTTCGCCTACATATTTGTTGAACAGTCGACTCTTGGTTGGAATTTTCCCAGTCAGTCAGAGTTTCTTGTTGCTGACTCTTTCTGACCAGCCGGTCGGCCATCTGATCTTCAATATGGAGCCAGCCAGGGAAGGTGGCAGTTGCTGATAAAAGTCTGCAGTGGCCTGTTGGAATTCCTTTTCGCGACATGCAGTGCAAATTTCTGACCCGTATAGATGAGGTGACTGAAAATCCGAATTTCGTTCTTTATACTAAATTAAGAATGTTTCCAAACTGATTTCAGAGTGATGAGGGTCTGTTTTGTCTTTCCTATTCTGACTGACATCTCCACCCGTCCCACCTGTAGTCGCAGTGATACCGCCCAGATGAGCGAAGGAAGTAACCTCTGTCAAATCTCTTCCGTTGATGGTGATTGGTGCTGGTTGTTTATGTTGTTGTTGGTTGGTTATCTTCATCATCTGTATGTTCTCTATGTTCACTTGAAGTCCTGTTATCGCTGGCTGCTTCTTCTGTCAACTTGTTCCTTTTTGCCTGTGGGTCTTACAGTTTGTGTGACACTGAACATAAATCATCCGCGAAATCCAGATCTTCTAGAGTCTTCCTGTCGGTTCCACGTGTTACTGTCTTTTGTTCCACACGCATGGTGTGCCACATAATCTAGTCCATCAAAATCAAGAGTATCGTAAGTAATAGTAGGCCTATTAATAACCACTTTTATTTTAATAGTTTAAGTAGTAGTCCATGTTGGGCAAATATTGATTCCCTATTGATTTCTGTATGCATAGTTTGGGATATATGTGATTAGTGATCCCAAAAGTGCTTCCATCACCTTTAATAACTTTGAATTAAAGTTATGTGATGAAATAATTGACAAACAGTTATTAATATTGATTTTGTAATCAAACATTAATAAGCGTTTTGAAATGGATGATGTTGGACTTCTATTTCGATTAAGTACATTCAGATTTTAAATGTTACTTAATGACCACTTCTAAAAACATGGTCTTTCTAAGGATGACATTCGAACATTCTTTTGGTTCGACCGGCAGCTCTAGGTGAACTTTTAGATACAGTGTGAGGTATAGTTCATAGCATTTCATCCTTTAATCGTAGTTATAGGAATTAAAATATTCCCTTCAGGTACCGAATATACGTTTTAAAGTTGACCGAAACCTTTTTTCCCTGTGTAAATTGTATGCGGTCTTGAAATAGACATTTCCCTCCTGGGGAAGGTTTGTACTGAGATAACCATAATATTCATTCTATATCTGCTTACGAAATATTGATTGCCTAATTGTTTTTTCATCCCACCTAATCATTGAAATATCTACGAAACTCATTTTATTATTCATATATTCAAATTTTGAGGTCACTCGAATATTTAGATGAATATAATAATAATAATAATAGCTTTATTCCAAACAGTATTTGTGGTACAGGTATGGAATTTCCAGCGTGCATTACAATATTGTATCTAATTACCTCATAAATTTTATAAGAATTTAAAAATAAAAAGCAACAACAACAAAAGAAAGAAGAGAAATAAAAGAAATAAAAAAAGAACAGCATTGCATTCACATATTTAAACAATGCACCACAGGATATGAAATATAAAATTAGTGTGTAATAGAATATATGAGCAACAATATAATAGTAACAAAGAAAGGAGAACAAAAGCTAATGGGAACTATTTGTTAGAGTGCCGCAGTAAGGTGATCGTGTCATGCCTAACAGTTTTCTCATCACATAACAGCTGTGCCAGATAAGGTATTGTGGAGTTTTTATACTTGGTAGTCCTGGCATATAGCTTCCTATAGTTGCTTCTAGTTCTACCAGATGAAATGCAAGGAGAGAGCTGCGTGTGGAGAGGGTGTTCGGGGTCTGACAATATAGAATTCGCTAGTTTCTTACATGACATTATATGTCTATCCACAATAGTGTTAACCAGTTGGTTTAACGAAATCCCACTTCCCCTACTAACGGCTTTTAGTGCCCTACGCAGCGAAGCAAAGTCACTTCGTCAATCGACTCGTAAAATTTGCCAGCATACCTTCCGTTTTTTCTCCAATTTATACATACATACGTATCTGCTAACAAGGTTCTATGAGGAGTTCTCATCTCAACATCATCAATTTGTGTGTATACCTTTTCCTTGGAAGTTGAATGTGATATTTCCTGTACATATCGATATACCACTTCTGATGAAGTGATAGGTGAAATTACTTCTGTTCCATTGCTTGTTATGTAATCGCGAATGAGAAATCGACTATAGTGAAGCAGAACACTAGTGAACAAAGAATTTATGTTGATTAAGGACATAAACTTCTTAATATTTATAGTGTTAAGTATACTCCTTCTTTAACCTGAAACCAGTTGAGATATCTTTTGCACTACACTCAGCCAGCCAGCATAAAGAACAAGATTTGAATTTTCAAAACAAATGTGAAGTCAGTCATCTATTCTCCATGAGTCAGAAATTTGCACTGCGTCCCGTGAAAGAGATTTCCAACAGGCCACTGCAGACTTTTATCAGCAGCTGTCACCGTCGCTGGCTTCAAACTGAAGATCAAATGGTCGGCCGGCTGGCCAGGAAGAATTAGCAACAAGAAACTCTGGCTGACTGGGAACAAATCAAAGGCGAGAACTGATCGCTCAATAAATATGTAGGGGAAAATGGAGATGCACTTGGGATAAGTTGAGTAGGCCGTCGAATAACATCGCTCGCAAAGTAGGACGTCGCTCAAGTGGAATCTGAATGGGAAGCGATGAGTCGGTCATCAGTGCGAGGGTGACACGTAGTTGATCGTGTGTGTTGGAGGAGAAGATGAGAGATTATGAGCAATCGTGTTACTAGCCAGCTGAAGAGGAAAGAGGAAAATAGAACAAAGTGGAGATGTTTTGTTAAAGCCGTATGTTCCACTTGGAAACTTGAGGAAATAATGATACAAGTATATTAGAAAGATCGAATGAACGTTTTAATGAAGTGCTTTGATGGTAAGGAATCTCTTTGGTATGTTAAATTCTGTATACCGTAAAATTACCAAATGGTTTACGGAGGTTCTCACACCTGATATATATATATATATATATATATATATATATATATATAGTAATATTTTCCTCTCCTTTTTCTTGTTGTAGGTAATATTGCCGCCAGTATTGTAACGCATTCCCTGTGCAATTTCTTCGGTTTACCAGATCCAATAGGTGCTATTGAAAGAGGAAAATATCATTGGGGTTTATTGGGTCAAATCATAGCAGTTGTAACCCACCTTTTAGGATTATTTTTATGGGCATATTTATTATTTCAGTTAACGGAAACTAAATGGTCTTTTTTAAATGATTGTAATTGGTCTTAATTAAATGTACTTTGTAAATTTTTGCTATAATTACTGTTCTTCTTCTTCTACTTACAAAGATATCTAGGTGTTTCCAACCTCTGTTATTGTACTAACTGTAGCTTTTCGTCTCTTTTTGAAGCGTCTTAAAACGTTTCATATCTATTTTTATGTATAAAATAATGATCTGTACATTTATCAAATTTTTCTCGAGTGTATTAAACAATGCTGGTAGAAATCAAACCAGAATCGAATCAAGATCAAACTTACCTTGTATTCAATGTACAACTTATTTTACTTGCTTAAAGATGTACCTTGCTGACAATCTATTTAACTAGTTCGCTTTTTGTTGGAAAATTTTCGCTTACTCTCTATTTGTACACTTAAAGTTGTCTTTGTAATAAAGAGAGAAATTCAAGTCGTTGTTACTCGGCATTTAATGGAGTTATTCCATTCCATTTATCTTTCTGCAGTGGTGTAGAATAAACTGTGTGTGAATTTCTTCCGAAAGAAATTCGGGAAGATAATCGAACGATTATTAAAACCACACGTTGAGCGACGCGTAAAATCTGAAAACAGGATTTGTTTAGAATACGATACTATACTAAACATAAACATGAAGTATAATATACAGAACTCAACTGTGAGGTGTCCGGGGCTGAATGCCATCAAAAAGCATAGTCAATGTGCTCTAATGAGTGATAATAGCAGAGCTGCGTCAAAGGCGACCCACGTGTTATTGAAACAGCGCTCGAATGACAGACACAATAAAGGGATAGGGTTAAAGAGTGTTCAACAGTAATGGGTAAACCAATGAAATGTATAAAGCAAATAATGTTTGACTATAAGAAAATAATTATTGTACATTTAATAGATTAGTAATACATCGAGTGAGTTAACCCTCAATGGCGAATAAAAACATAGTTAAGAACTAACAAATACTACTTACTAGAGGTAAGTAGTATAAATTTTAACACAAAAGAAGTAATAACAAGTGGGGAATAGAGAAGGAATTAACCTCGATGGTTCAAGGACAGAATGAATGGTCACCAATCATCTCACACCTAACCGGTTGTAAGCTTGGAAAACAGGGATACTAACCCCACCCTCATAAAAACAACAAAGACGCCGCCGAAACTTCAAAACCTAAGGCTTGAAGTCATGTCCCACTAGAAACACAAATGAATGGAAAAGATATATACGTATGTATTGGTTCTGCGCAGTGAAGTGTTAATTGCAATAGACTACCAATCAAATGTCACCTATGTCTCTTCTAGTGTGACTGTCATGCAATAATTGATTGCATTTATGCAAACGCCCACCACTACTTAGTACTGGCTTCGTGGGTCTATCACATTTCTACCATCTCGTATAAATGTAAATGGGACTCACTAAACGCTTAATTCAACACACTAACACTTTCCAAAGCTTTATCGTCAGCAGATATCTTTGCTTCCTCAGTCGGTAATGATAATAACACAGATTCTGAGCTTTACAATGTTTGGGACGTTTGTAAATCTCTCGGAATGCATACTCCATCATTTTTGGAATAACAATCAAAAGGAAGTGCCTATGGATGTTATTCGAATTGATTTGTATATCGTAACGGATTTGTTTCTCTACACGCTGAAGAATACTTTTCCTTGTAAGGGGTCAAAGAACTTCGTCAAGTTACTTGAGCCTTGGCCGTTTCCCTTTCAATGATCAATTTGTGTAGAATGAGACACATGGTAGACAATTAGACTTTTGAGTGATAACAGTTGGGTTACTGTATCTTTATAATCTTCATATCGCCGTGGGTAAATACACCTCTCAGGTGTTATATTCTCCCTTCACTAGTTCGGGGAGTGTTAAGAATAGTCTGGCCACCATGTTAGGTAGGCCAGTGTAAGGGGCCAGCAGGTGGTGTAGCCGAAGCCCAGGCCTAGCAGGATAGGTGGCCACACAGCGATCGTGAAAGTTATTTCTGGTTGAAGCCAATCGTGAGCAAGCTCTAATCTGTGCAAGCAGCCCGACCAACTGTCTTCCTTCATCCTTACCTTATCAGCTACGATCATCTAACGTAATACTCAGAAACGTAAGGTTTATAAACACTTTCCTTCTCACTTTCTTTTGGCGTTAACTAATTTGTTCAACAAAAAGAAAGATTGTTCAGTATAATACTAATTACGTGAAATTTTTTTTTATAAGTAGGTCCTGGTTTTAGCGAATGTATATTATTTATTATATTATATATTTTCCTATCAATGTAGGAAAATATATATGTACAGAGGTTTGACGCACATTTTGCTAAAATAATATTTGAAACTGTAAATAGTTATTCAACCGTGCTTCTAGTGCAGAACTGGGAATTTCCCCAATTCTTCGTGACACTTTTAATCATCTCTAAGTCTCCGTCTACTTTCCATTCAAATGAGGCCGAATAGCTCAGTGGTAATGCCTCTTGCTGCAACACTGTTTCCAGTTAGTTTCGACTAGATATATGGCTCTCGATTCATGTGTGACTATCAGTCCTGCTAGACCTGAGCTTTAGCCACATTTCCTGCGGACTCATCAGTCTGGTCTACCTAACCTGGCGGCTTGGCTGCTCCTAACGCAGCCAGCAGTAGCTAGAGGAGAATATAACACTTACTGCTGCCGGAAGGTGTATTTATTGACGATGATCTAAAGAGGGTTTATAGGTAAGTAATCACAGCACAGCAAAGCCACCGAGCTCTTGTCCCTTGAAAATAATATTTTCCACCGTCTTTTTCAGTCCCCAAGGATAAACAAACTGATTGTTAACGGTGAAACGGCTGAAGCACAATTGAGTTGACGAACTACATGATGATGTGTAGCACATTATGTGGGGAAGTAAGAACAGATGATTGGAGAAGGGAGGATATCTTAGACGTGCCAATCCACTGCCTAACCTGATCAGCGGTGTTAGGCTAAATGTGATTTTATAATTCTCACTGTAACGTTAAGAGCACAACATTCAGCAAAAAAATGATATATGATTAAGTATGAAAAGACTATGTAATGGTTACACGAAAAAATAACATCTATCCATGTAGTGCATGACTGTTTGTTTGAGCCACATATGTGTGCTCTTGAGATGTATGTCAGTTAAAACTTTTATGCGTAGTCCTACATTCAGACTTCAGTTAAAATTCTAAAAGTAACAGTGTAGTATATGTGCAGTATCTTGCAAGCTCGTATAGTTTGCTTTGACGCTTTCGAGTTTGTGAAGTTTTTATGATTATAACGTGGACTTGAGGGTGAGGTGGACTCAGCTGAACAATCATTCAAAATCAAAGAGGACTAAAAGCCGATCCTCCCTAGTTTGAATTTTTATCCAATAAACATTAAAGGAAACAGATGTCTGAGAGTTGTCGAATAGCGAATTTAACGAGAACACTTGAGTGATATATTTTGAATTGAATGAAATGAGGTTTAGGTAAATTAGTGAAATGCATTTATCGAGTGAAATCGCTTCTTACTGCTTGTAAAAGTCCTGACAGAGACAGTCATTATCTGAGTAGGACCCGCGGTTATTGAGTGGTTTGTTTTCTCACATATCGTAACTGTATATCAGGTGAAAATTAAATGAAAAAGAGACTGTAGCGGCAAATAATTACCCAAAATTATTGACCACAGCAATCATCACTGAACACTGGATGCTAACTCTCACTGTTTAAGTCAAATTGTTTAGCTGAAGGCTTCAGGTCAAGCATCCTTACCATTTTGGTACACCGTCATGTCACGTTCGTGCATGATCACTTGCTAACTAAGCACTCAGAACGGCTTACTATTTGGTCCCGAAATATATCACGTACTTCGGCTGATCAATCTTGCCTTTTGTTTTACCTTCGGTACACGAGAAACGAATTCTATAGATGTTGTTGGTATAAGATCTTGCGTCCGTACACTCCATACAATTCGCGAACGTCGATACCGTCAGCCTCTAAAAGACGAAGAAATGGAAACAGTTTATTATGATGTCTTATTGAAATAGAAAACAAAGTAGATGATGGCACAAATTCATAAATAAACCTTTGATTCTCTTCCACCATCGATATTGATCTCAAACAGGTACCACCAAGACTATGTGATCATAGGTTTCGGTAGTTAAGTTGTCTTTAATTAGTCTACTTCCACTTACTTAAATGGCCCATATCTGCAGTTAGGAATTTCCTGGATTGTTTCTGTGACCTAACCTGACCACCTGAAACTTTCCTTCGCTCTAGGCCAACTACTTCTAACATAGCATTTTGAAGTGCATTTGTACACAGTCACCCAAATAAATGGAAGTCCGTGACCCCACGACCGATATACTTTATCGGATCCTATCCTCCACTTTTAATTCACTCATATGGTAGTTCTCTACAGTACGAGAAGTACTATTAAGGAGATACATGAATTTTTAGTTATTTTTCTACCCTTAATTGACAGGATTACCAAGCATACATTAGAATAGAGCACACCACTGAACAGCTAACTTTTTTACATTGAGTGACAATCGAAATCGTCTGAGACGTAGCCGTTGCAACTCAGTGATAGTCACTCCAAATGTTCAAGGATCTCTACATGTTGCCAGACTCTTCTTTCAACTGGATTGTAACAATAATAATTTATAATAATAATTTATATTTTCATATAAAATTTACATGAAAATGCATGCCATTTTTACAGGCATCTCGGACCACAAAGTGAGTTTCAGTAAAGGGAGCCTTATAAGAAGTGAACAGAATTCCTTGGCGAACAGCTTCCTATAAAGACCCAAGTGTTACAAACAGATCAGTGGTTGGTGGCGTTGGTGAGACAGTTCAAAATCTGTATAGTCAGGGCGAAATGCCATAGCTAATACGATGAGTTTATAGAATATGAAATGCTTTGATGCAGATAATTATTTAGCAGACCAGCTAACCTTTACACTAATTATTCGTGCCAGTAGTTAAATACTGCCGACTTAAAGAGACTTATTCAAAGACGTCATATGGTTCTGCGACTTAGCATTTCTGGCAGGTATCCCATTTGGGTTACGAGTTAGTTTAGTAAGAAACCCAAATGTATATATTTGCCTGTGTACTGTTCATGTGCCGCTTATTTGTTGTTAATTTCTAGCTGACACGAGCATTTTCTAAATTGTGGTTTCTTCTCGTTTCTCCCTATTTAATGAAAACTGGATCGGCAACTTTTAAGATGTTGACATCTGCCAAGGTGATTAAGGAATTAATGAACATTTCGGAGGTTAACCCAGATAAATCCAGTCTCATATATTTTACGCATGGCCAATCCGTTATAGGAAGGCAGATATTCTAGTGTTTACAAGATCGCAAACATACTTTCATACCACCTTCAGCTAAAAAACTATTTTCGACAATCAGTGTAACCGAAAAATGAGGTATAGGTTGTGTGATCTGAGTAGATGGTGACATAAGATTTTTGTGTTTACAGTAATGCAGATTTCGTCTCTCCGGTACCAAGAACACCAGTCACATGCTAGCTGTCGAGTCAAAGATCCATAGACGAAAATGAATTCTCGCCAGCTACGGAAGTAATTTGGTATTATTTATTCAATCACTGAAATTTGACTTTCCTTTCGCAACGGTTTGTGATAAAAGTTGCGAATAAGTTGAAAAGTCATTTGCTGCTGGTAAATGACACATACGTTGTCAGTTCTAGCGTCTTTCCTTTCATTCGTGAACACAAAGAATATGCCCAGGAGTGTTCATCATACAACCAACAGTTGAAGGCTACTACGATGTACAAATTGTGTAAGAATATCAGACAACATAAATCAAGGTTAAGATGGTTGTCAGTCGTCACTTGGCAACACACTTGCTATCGGGTTGCTTGCAACCTGGCAGAAAGTTTACACACAAACATCCCTCAGTATCATGACCGACTTCAAAAAAGAACGAATCCTTATCTAAAGAGGTAGGTCATATGAAGAAATCTTTCGTTCGACTGTATTCTTCAGTTCTTTATTTTTACAGAAGTCCTGCAAGATCAGTCGATCTGCTCCCAGCCAATCACATATGCTGAAATAATCTATGAAATAAGTATCGTAAACGTTTCTGCCTATTACTATTTTTATAGAGGCATTACCCTCAATAGTATGAAATATATCATTCACACACGGCATTCGCCTTGTTTTATATGTGTTTAATGTGTAACAGTAGAGATATCTGAACAATTGTCATTATACTTGTTACAGTTAGAGAATTCAGTCTAGTAGCTAAGAGTCAAGGGTGAAATTGGAAATAACGAGTAAACACGCTGGAAATCTGGGAATCTAAATGGGTTAAATGGGGAGAAGTGGGCGATTACTCCTTTCTAGATTTGGGAAAAATGTGTAAAGGTGTAGGTATAGTGGGATTAAGAGCAGTTAAAATGAAAAAGGGGTAAATGAAGATATTCCGGGACATGGGAAAACGGGGGAAAGTAGATAATTTACGTCGCATTTCACCCACCTTTTGCGGACGCCTTCGCCGACCGAAAGTGCCAACTTATCCAACATTTTTCTCACTCTGCCCATGCGCATTCCCTGATTGACTGTAACAGTGGTATCAATCTGATCGAGCATTCAATGTTATTCAGTGACTGACGTTGTGATGATTGTCTGACTTAGTGTCTGTGTGCTTGTGATTGGGTGGGCTCCGTTTTGTTTTGATGGAGTGAAAATTTTAGCGGAAACTGGTAAATCGGGAAAAGCGTTACTACTTGGAATACTGGGTTGTGCTTGCACTCTGTTCCTTTTTCACTCGCTCAATAATAAATTTGAATGAGATACATCTTCGTGGTATTGACCTTGGAACTCTGAATCGGAGCTGTTTTGTAGACGAATGTCTCATCTTAAAGGGCACAGCGAGATAAAATCTATTATAGACGAAGACCTATCTATCGAAAAATAAGCAGTAGCCTTTAGTTCTTTTGGTGGTCACGTAGAATCGTTTATAAAACCCATTGTGTCATTTAGTATTGTAACAATCGGTTCCGAAAGGAACCTTAATTTGTTTCATCACTGAATGTTAATACTATCCAGAAAGTTTTATGGCTATGAGTGCGCAAAACGCTTCATTCTAGGACAGTAAGAAGTCTTTAGTTATCTCTCAGTTTGTTTCCAAATCATTGTCATTTCAGCTTTCTCAATTTTTAAGATCGATTGACAGAAATTCAAGGATTGTAGACTAGCACTGCTGTTCCAGTATGTTTTGCCACAGACGCCTTTTTGTTTATGGTCAGTATCTGTATGTGTCTAGCAAGTCGGTAATTACCGGCGAATGACCAAGGAAGAAAACGAACCTGCTAAACGAACTGGGCTACAGTAAATGAGTTTGTGCGTGAAACTTCACGCAAGGCCATGAAACTGTTTCGTTCACAAGGAAAGAATGCTAAGAAATCTGCTATTTATGACTTGCTCGTCTTTGGATATTGGAAATTCAAGGTCGGGCTACGGGGTTTTTCAAATCTTTGCGGTACCCTTAGATTACCGTATATTTGGCTGTAATAATAAAAGAGGTTTGACTGTTGATGTGTTAGAAACATAAAAATTACACTTAAATCCAAGGTAACTTGAAGATACTTTTTTATGGTATTTTTCTCCTTACTAAGTGCACAAGGTATCTCGAGTTAATAACCCTCAAACATACCTTAGCATTAGTTGATGCTAACCTTTTTATGAATATTTCGTAAATAGTGCTGGAAAGGTGCTCTGTATGTTTAAAAAGTCTGCGTGAAATTGATGCGGATGTTGGTCACAGATAGCACTGGATTTCGAACCAATGCGAGTATGGAGATATACCAGAATTGTGATTTTAGTCAATGATGAACTTATACGCAACTGCTAGTTAGATGCTACGCCAATGCGGCTAATGTGGAAACGTAGTGCATAGTGATTTTTGTTACGGAGAATACCGTGATTTCAGCACTTTCCTAGGATTTACTCATCGTATAAAAATGAGTTAGTTCAAATCTTATTGACATTAATTCTGCATTGTCGTAAGTTAGTGCAGCTAACTCCAACAGTTAGGTACATCCGGATAGGAAATCATGTCGATTTTCTTTGCTTCAAAAATCTGATAGTCAGCTCTTAAAGATGCGGTTGACGAAGTACTTGAAAATCTTCATATAGTGCTCTTAAATAACAGATATCCTAGGTCGTTTATTGAAAGAAATGTGAAGAAACTTATTACAACCGGCCAAATCCTGGCGCTAAAGCATACACTTTGTCGGTCTAATATTTGCATTTGACACCACTGCTTAAGTAACTGCAAGTTGTCCATCCAAGTCTACTAAACGCGCTTTTTCGGCAGCTGGTACACACTTGGTATTCTTTAGTCTAAGTATGATTCTTCAGCGAGTAAATTGTCGACTGCCAATTACATGCACTTCTGTTTACATCTACTTCACATGCTCCTCTGGAGCTGATTACAGTGGACTTCGTAACCGTGTTCCCTGGAAACACATTGATGAACATTACATGGTTTGGTTGGTGAAATGTGAACAAAGAATGACGAATTCTAATATCTGCAAGTACTTTGCCGAGTTAAGTTATTCAGTCCCTCGCGACTTATCTTTGATGATTATCTGTAAGGATAAATTCATTCGCTGTAAAAGTTAACGTTTTCACCACTGGGATAGCCGAAGCTCCAGCTACACATGACAGGAACCTATATTATATATTCATAAACGTTTTATTGAACTCATCTCTTTACCGTGGTCGTATTAATGTTTCATGTTGGTTAAAATCATTCCGCTTGATTATTATTATTATTATCAGCGTAGTTTTAATTTTTGACAATTTGACCTACTACCTATTTAGTAATGTTTTGTATTCTTTTTAATTCAAACACTTCGAATCCGTTCCCGTAAAAATCATCTTAATTGTTTGCATTCTCATCATATGTATATTGACTAAGCAGTTATTTAGTGCGACTGCTGTTATCCGTTATACAAATACTGCCATAGTTTGAAAATGAAGTCGTTGAAGGGAAATATTTTTTCGCTGATCCAGTCTGTCTTCCTCCTTATCAATGAATACATTGATATATTTTGTGATTCGAACTTAAGCTGTTTTCTTCAGGATGATGAAATTAGTTTTAATCTAATTCTTAATGATCATTTCGCTACATCCTTCCGATTTAGACACTATTTTACCTAACATTGTCTACAATATCCATCTTGTTTCCACGTCTCCCTTGTGTTTTATGTTTGTTTGTATGTACGGGGTATAAAATTCGTTCTCAGGACGGGAAGCCAACATAAATAATCATCATTATTGACATGCACAAATCCACAATATTGTTTAATTTCAGCGGTTGCAGTGACTGTCTAACAATCAGTTATCCGAAATAGACTTTTACTGTACCAGCCTGTAAGCCAAACTGTGTATTTAAAGGTTGATAGTACTACCTAATTTAACGAAGATGGACCTAGATTTTAACTTAAGACATACTTTCTGAAAACCAAGCGCTTAGGCTAATGAGCCACAAGATTCTTTAGGGTCACAAATTTTCTCTTAACTGAGAAAATCAGTGCAAGGGCATCTTTTTCAAACTGTGCAAATTTTTTCCGGCTTTCGTTAGCATTTTTGAAAGATATGTATTTGGTTTGCAAACACCTGAGAGGTACCAGCACTAATAGCATAATTGGGGACATTACAATGCATAGTCGTGAGATGTCGTTCCAGCTACCTATTGTAGGGAGATTTCAGGTCAAGAAACTTTATGAGACCGCTTTACAGCTGTTATATTGCATATTGTAATCTTCTGGAAAGTAGCTGTCTGACTGCTGACAAGTTTTTAAAAACCTTATTGAATCATTCACCAATAAACAGAAAAAGAACATCATAACCACAATATAGGTATACCAAAGAGAGAAAGTATGACAATAATTTACAGTTTCAGAATATTTTGATCAGGTATCTGAATAGCAGCGAAATGACTTGAGAGATAAGTAGTTCTCCTGTCGAATTATGATTTCAGAATTAAGTACATGCCTACGTATAACTTCGGTCTCCTCAACAGACCACCACGTCTCCTTGAGAACCACAATGGTTTCTTCTGTTTATTTTGAAGGGAAAGTGAATGAACTTTTGGTGAGACCTGTGAACTTCATACCCTTATCAGTTACGAAGATGAAGAAGCTTGGTCTGCTGATCCTCTGATAAACAAAATTGAGTTTTTTCTTTGTGGTCAATCTTCGCCCATTACTTGTCCGGTAAAAAGTTTTAATAAGAATGAAATTCCCTCTCATTGGTTGATAATTGCGTAATATTGGTGATCATATAGTTATTCTCTAATTTGTAAGAAGTATGCTTCTGTGTTGGGAGTAGAAACAACCGTGAGAAAGCAAATAGTTAGATAGAATTACAGGTAGAATACCAATGAAAAGGACTCTTGAGTGTGCTTTGACCCATAAACGGTCTTCAAGTAACTCCAGGCAAAGACTTACCGAATCCTGTCGAACTGGAAAACAGACATGTTACTCTTTATGTTTCTAACAACTTTACTTTTAATTAGCACTTCAATACACAGTTTCACAATTCTTTGCAAATGTTATGCTCATTTTCATTTGTAAAAATTTCTTTTGCGTTCCGAGTGGAATATATCGCTTCAAACTTTCGGTAGCAATGATGTTGTTACCTTTGCTAGCCCTACACACCCAGCCTACCTTCTTTTCCGGGCTTTCTACCGACTAGTAAATTAGGTGAGCTTTAGTAGTTCGGAATCGAATCCGGACCACCTACGTGATTGGTGATCATTCTACTGCTGAACCAACGACGTAATTTTCAGCTGTCCTGATTGAATGCAGTGGCTTCAGAGTATCATAGGTCACCAAACAAACACAACGATCACATCTCTTTTGTCTGCTAAATATGAGTATCACTTAAAAAGAACTTAATATTCCTTTGATTCAACCCATTCCCTTATTGGCAAATATCACTTTCAAAACTAAATGTATCTTTCGCTGTTTTGCACTGCCTCATCTATGATTTAAATTTATTTTAAAGTTTGTTATTCCTTTATTTTGCTTACTCCATTTTTGTGATATTGTTGTATTTTGTTTTAGGAGACGATGAAACTAGAGAATGCATTAAAAGGGAACGTTACTTATCATACAATAAGGGTGAGATAAGCTTCTTTTTGTAATTGTAATCATAATATAAGTGATAATAACATTATTCCAAGCCACACACCTATTGTGTCATGGTTGGTGATACTATGTGGCTGCCAAGTCTCTGTATTTGGAGCAGGGTTCAAACTCACTGGTTGGAAGCCAAGTGTCTAGACTAATGAGCCACATCTCCATTCCAAGTAACATATTTAGTTAGTTAGGATTCATTTACCCGAAACAGAATTTTCGTGTAACAAGCTGCCTAGACTGTAGGTGAATGTAGAATGCAGTGAAGAAATGACTATACTGAGTATGCGTTTTATGCTTGTAAATTACAAGGCAAATTTTACAACACTAATCTCTGTCAACTCTTTAAGGTGAAATATTTAAATATGTTGACTACATTGCTTGTTATAAAAGTGGGTTTCGCTATAATTCATTGGTTATTTGAAAGCTCCGGCTTACTGAACTTCTCATTCGGCTTTCAACCTAAAAGCGACGGGTTTGTAACGCTATTCATCTACAGAAGTTTGATCGGTCATGTAGCATTATGTGTCCTTCGGAATGCGTTACATGCACATAGTTTTTATTGTAGGTGGAAAAGTTTAAGCTAAAATAAAATGGATTTAACGTTTGACAAATTTTACTGTCTCAACATGGCAGTAATATTAAACATTATTAAGTTCTGTTTTACTCTATTAGATTTGGGAGATTTTAGGTTTTCAATTATAGGCGTATCTTCATTACACTGCTCACTCAATGATGATTAATCTAATTTCTAGACCGGAAAACATGATGAAAGTAATTCTTGTCAGACATGTGTTTAAAAGATATAACATAAAATCATCGAATCTTCGAACATACTATGTAAACATAACCAGATCTTTGAAAAGTGAATAACTTTCATTGATATACTTCTGATTCCATAAAGATCATAGACTAATTTTTAATTCTTAGGGATTTGGTTGGTTTCAAATCGCCAATTAATAGGCCATTGGATTTCCATCCCAATGGTTGTGGAGGATCAACAGGATCACCTCGTAGCCTGAAGGTCCTGGCTCCGATCCCCAGTGGGAGAAGTCATGGTCACTTGCTGCTGAAGAGTCACAAGTTAGGACAAAGCAGTCACTCAGTACTTCCTGGTTTCCACTTGTTCTCTAATTGAAGTCACTTAGTGATCAAACACAATGATGTTTGAACTCAATTAAACAGAACAGATTTTTCATGTGCCAGGCTAAGAGCCACACTTACCGCATGAGGGCTGATGATACTACTCAGTTGCTCAGACTGAAGTAGGTGGAGCTGGAGTCGAACCCGTGACCTAACGATTCAGTCACACCTCCACCAGTTTAACATGATAATAATGTCCTTGAGTTTTATGCGGAGCATCCTATTATCTCAAGTGTGTTGATCTTACTCTTCAAGTGGATTTTTTTAACTACAAGATGGAAGTAATCAGTTGATAGTTTCCATTGTTCAGTCTTCAGCATTACAAAACGTTTGTATCTATGACAGTTGTCTCAGTACTCTTGGTCGACACTATTTTGCTGCTTATCTAAATCTAAATCTATAGATCTGCGCATAAAATTACTTATGTTGTAATATGTGCCTAAGATTTGTCATGAAGAGTTTATTATACAAAGTTAACGTTCAATTTTCAGCGGTTGGTTTTGATTTGATTGGATTTGGCTGATTCCAAGTTAGTCCACGGACTGACATCAATTAAAGAACTATTGAAAACCGGGGAGTATTGGACACATACGTCTCCCCCCAGTTTGTAACTTTTCAGCAGTACGTACCTATGACCTCACTGAGGATCGAACCCAGTACCTCTAGATTAAGAGGCAAGCTCGTTGACTACATAGTCACTGTAATGGAGTCCAATAACTAACGAATTTTGACTGCTGCCATTGGATTCCATTCCAGTATCTGTGAACGGTCAACAGACTCATCTTGTTACCAATGAAGTCATATTTGTGTACTGCTGAAGAGCCCTGAACGTAAATGAAACAGCTGTCCACTACCTCTTGGTTTTCAGTGGTTCTCTAACTGATGCCAGTTTGTGATCTAACTTGTAGTCTTCATTCGATAAAGACAGGACCACAATTTATTACAGATTTTTCACTGTTTCCCCAGTCATTTAGAATGCATAAGTTTTTATTTGAATCAGTGTATCAGATGAATTCTGTCTGTTATATACTATTTCTGTTTGATGCTTGTCTTTTTTATTTTTCCTAATACTTACAGCCTTATGTGTTAGCCTGTCTATCAGATAATTCATTGGCTGATGAATCATGTATAGCTGAATTAGAATTTGCCGCCAACTATGTGGATTGTACATATTTTATTCTACGTGTTATAAATACAGAAATGTCAATGATTAAACAACAATCAAAAATCATGGTTTGTTTACAGATATTATTATTATTTCATTATTACGCAATAGCTTACTTATTTTTAACTGAAGTTGACAGTGGTGTGTGTCTGGGTGTGTGATTTTTTTGGTTGACACCAAATGATTCAAGGTATCAAAGGTAAAGCTGCTTTTAAATTCTTATAGTAATTTAGGATTTAGTTACCCGCTACCAAAGCAGCAAAGACAGGACCCCAGGTGAACATAGACAAGACGGAGGTTATGAAAATAACCAACCAGCCAACGACAACAACAGCAGCAACATCCAGTGCCAATCACCATCAATGGGAGGGATTTGAAAGAGGTTACTTCATTCACTTATCCAGCTAGGGAGCATTGTCTCAACTACAGGTAGATAGCACGGACGAGGATGTCAAATTGAGACATCAACCTGAAACCAATCTGGAAATCTTCGTCACTCAGCATCAACAACAAAATTCGGATTTTCAATACAAACGTCAAGTCAGTTCTTCTATAGGGATCAGAAACTTGGCGGGTCACAAAGAATATTTCCAACAGGTTGCAGACCTTTATCAACAGCTGTCTTCGTTCTATACTCAAGATCAGATGGCTGGAAAGAATCACCAACAAGAAACTATGGGAACAAACAAAACAAGAACCAATCGTTCAACAAATATGCAGGAGAAAGTGGAGATGGATTGGACACTCGCTGAGGAGGCCGTTGGGTGACATCGCGCGTCAGGCCCTAGCTCGAGTGGAACCCGAAAGGGAAGCGGCGAGTGGGACGTCCAAGGGTGACATGGAGTAGCTCGTGTGAAGAGGAACTGAAACAGTATGGATTAACAGGGATGCAAGTGAAAAGTACAGCAGAAGACAGAAGCAAGTGGAGACGTGCAGTTGAAGCCCTATGTTCCACTAGGAACTCAAGGGAACAATTATAATAATAAATAATACCCGCTACCAAGCTATGAGCTCAGTTGCCCGACCTGAATAAAGTGGAGTGAGAACTCACGACCATATTGACCGGAAGTCAATAAACCATATGCGTACTCTAAGTTCTAAGAGTCATTTCTGATTGTTTATTAAGACAACTGAGCATGCCGAGCTGTCGCCTTCTTCGATGATCAAGTTTGTTTAAATTAACTGAATGATGTCAGTAAACTGTGCAACATCAAATGCATTATTATTATTACTATTATTATAAGAATTGAATTTGGGCATTGCCTAATAATATAGCTGCATAATACTTTTGTCATTCCATGCGTTCCACATAGAATATAGAGCTTCAAGCTGTTGAATTTTCACTGGCGGTGATTAGCTTGCTAGCTTCACTCACAACCCTCCCTCCTTTTTGGGTTTACTGTCGGTCAGTAAGTTGGACGTAGTTTAGGATTTAGTCGGTCGGGAATCCGAACCAGACCACTTGCCTAGCTGACTGGCGTCATTAGTTCCATAACAGAATTATGTTATTTGATACAAACTCATAGTGAGGCAGTATTATTTATTTATTACCGACATCTCATCCCTTACAGGTAAAGACTGGTATGATAAAGTGCCTCAGTTACTGAGAGAAAATTCTAATTATAAGACCTCAGAAGGCCTAAATAAAGAAATGAAACAGATAGGAGAAGCATTGATGCTATATAAACTGTCTTATAAAGTGCATAAAGAAGTTTGAAAGAAACTCACAATAAGAAAAAAATAGTGGTAAAACTACTGAGTATTACATGTATTAGAAAGAATTTAAGACATTCAAAGTGTTTACCGTCTAGGTACGGAACATTTGAAGCCCTACATCGGATTCTTAATAATTCAGGAACTAGGGCAGCATTCAAGCCTAGAAACTCATTTAGAGATAAGCTGTGTAGTCTGAAGTACCTTATTAACTTAATGATTAGACAACATATTCTATAAAACACCTTGTAGTGGCTGTGACGTCAATCACATAGGTCAGAGCAGTAGACTGCCCGCAGTCAGAGGTTATCGGAACATAAAAATTTAGCTAAGTACAGAATGACTCACAAAAGAAGATGAATAGTAATTCTAATGTGTACACTAACACATAACCACACTGTGATGAGAGCTGTCTGCAAGCCGGAATTGTAGACAACAATGTTCACGTCCCGTATCAGGATCGTGAGAAAAACAATAACAAAGCTTAACCTTGAGAAAATCACCAGCCAATCACAGCCGAGTTAACGTGTGGAAATATGATTTGCAGATATATGACTTGATTTTCTGAGAAACGGCCACAAAGGGATAATAGAATAACCTTCAGCCAGAGAACAACCAATCAGAAGAGGTTGCTTTTCCGTTAACAATAATGTACATAAAAATCTATGAATAGCTCTTAATTTTCTCAATAAACAACCCGTTGCCTGGCCCTTGTCTTCTGTCGTTATTACACAAAGTGGAACAGCTGTAGTTCTGAAAAGTAATATAGGTATGCGGTTAGAGAGATTAACCACGGAATCCGTGTCCGTCCAGTCTACACAAAACACATGCAATAAGAACGATACGACGCCGACACAAAAGTTATAGAAAGGATTACTATCCATAAAATCAAAGGGTAAGAAATTACAGAATTATATAGACAAAGTTTTAAAGTAATGTGAGTACCTTGATATGATCATCAGTTCTGTTTGTTCCGAGTGGGACATAGGACTTTGAAGTTTCAGTAGCGTTGGTGTTCTTATTTCTACAGATTGGGGTTGTTTCCCTCACACCCAACTTTCATTCTGCTAGGCTTATTACCGTATTGGGAACTAGACTAGGCCCAGTTTAGGAGTCCATTAGCCTGGGATCGAACCACGAACCACACAGGTGGTTGGCTAGCATTCCACTTCTGAAGCGGCGCATGAATTACATTCAATTGGTTGACTGTTCTGATTCGTGGGATTAATGTACACAACTGAAAATTGATGATATTTATATCTCAACATTGACACCTTCGTAATCTTGTATAATTCATTTCTTGGTATCTGTATTATACCAGTTACTTAACTGAATAATTACCAACTAAAATGATGTAAAAGAAATATAAAATAATTAGTCCCTTTAGAAGTTAATTGATAGATGGTGACTAGCAGTGGAATCCAGGAGGCGCATTTCTTCCTATTTGGGACCCGTCAACTGGATGTACCTGCATTCCCCAGTGAGTGATGATGTTCCCACTGACGCCCGAACCCAGTGCCCATAGTTTCCAACGCCAAAGCGCTATCCACTAGACCAGTTGGGCCACGAGAGCTACCTCTTGTGCAATGGATAATATTAATTATTTAATTCAATTTTAGATTTTCCCGTTGATTGACTGGACCGAAGTGAATTAAATAATTAGTCCCTTTGATAAATTTGAATAAGGCATTTAGAAGAAAAATTTTGCAAGATGATGGTATCATTTCGTAGTTTATCTACAATCTCAGTTGACAGCTCAAAGATTTCGGTATGTCATCAAGCGCACATTCTACGCCGCATCTCATCCCCTCACATCTCGAACATTTTCGATCCCTTTATCTACGACTAAAGGACTAAATTCTGTAGACTCTACTTCAAACTGTATCTACAAGTTCACCTGCAGTTGCGGTGACACCTATACAGGTAGAACCAACAGAATGTTCCAATGTGGTCGTCGAAAGGAACATGTTCCGAAATGGTTAATTAAGACACATAGAAAATCCCAATGCAAATAATCTGAATAAAAATCCATCATCATCCGTTGCAATTATGGTTTCCTTTAATTCCTAGAGGAACATAGAGCTGCATCTGCACGGCTCCATTGCGTTCGGTTCTTTGCCAACGTTTTCACCTGCCCATATGCTTTCATCTCCTCTTCACATCACTTTCTCCATGTTGCCCTCACACTGACAACCAGCTCCCCACTTCTCGTTTGGGCTTCATTCGGGCGATGGCCTGGTGTGTGATGTCACATGATGGTGTGTTTTCTCAGAGTATGACCAATCCTTCCTTCTTATTTGTTGCACAATTGGTTCCTGCTGGGTTGTTTCGCTCCCAGAGATACCTGTTGCTGATCTTTTCTGACCGGCCATCTGATCTTGAGTAGTATTGAGCGAAGACAACTGTTGATGAAAGTCTGTAGTTTGTTCGAAGTGCCCTTCGTGACGCATCACATCCATTGCAAAGTATTTATTAATTTCTAGTCACAAAATCAGTATTAATGACTGCTTCACAGTTATTTCACATAACTCTAATTCAAGGTTATTGTAGATGATGGAAGCACTTTGGATTAATCACACACACATCCTAAACTATGTGTACAAAAAACAATAGACTTCAACCTTCGCCTACCATGGACTACTTGACCTATTTAAAAATATGATTAGTCATCAGTATGTATTTTTGTTTTTTATATAACTGAGTAATTGTCATGCCTTTTATTTTATTATTATTGTGAACCATGTTAGTTGTAAAGCGGTTGGAAAGAAACTACGAAATGAAAATATCATCTCGCGTAAAAGAAAACATTTAATTCATACTGTTTATCTCTCTCTCTCTCTCCTCTGTTTCACCATTTCAGTCTGATAATTATTCCAAGAATGTACTGTCTATATTTGATCTATTACTTAAACCAGAGAAAAAGTTATCCGGATTTTTAGGAAATACACCAGAACGTGAGTAATTTATCCTGTTTTCAAAGATATCTATTATGTATATTCAATTATCCACCAGAGTCTTGTTTATTTAAGGAACTAGATTTCTTTTAATCATTCAATTCCTTTGCATTCCAAGTAGAACATCGGGCTTCAGTTGTGAACTTTTGAAGTTTCAGTAGCAATGCTGTTTATTTTATGAGGGTGAGGTTGATAGCCTCTCATTCAACCGAGATTACTGCTGGCTAAGAGAGGTTTAAGAGAATGTCAGCTGGAGATCAAACCTTGGACGACATGAGGCCTGGTTAGGGAGTATCCTGCCTCTGAGTCACCGATGTACTTAGAAACTAGAAATTCAGCATAATTCATCAGAATATCATGAATAATCCTCATTCACTTATGTTAATGAAAGAACAAACCAAGTAGTGTTCAGTGAAGAGGCTCTTTTCGGTGAATCCACTTTTGCTCTAGCTGCGCGTAGTGAAATAAATCATTTAAGGAGTGAGTTGTAATCAGGATGCACATAGAAACAAAGGAGAATGCAATGTTCCGTAGGAGTTCGAAAAAAATACACGAGTTAAAGAGTTAAAACGACAAAAGTCAAGTTGGCAGAAAAGAACAAGCTTGTTGTTATGTTTCCATTTGTATGCAAATCTCAGGTTTGTTTGTCTGAATGACTAGGGCTTGAGCAATCCAAAGGAGATGAAGGCGTATTCTCTTTAGCAGGATGTTCTTCACTTTGTAGATCATTCTGAGACAGAATGGCTAGTGTCGACACGGTGTTCGGTTTTCGGAATCCTAATAGAATCATTGCTACCTTCCTGCAACTATGAGAGATAGTGTTCTCGGACTTTTTTTCGCTAGATTAATTATCTTATTACGTAACTCTAACAGCCTTATTAAGTCCTTCGTGTGTATTGCATAGTATTATTAACTGTGACTATGAAAACTTATCACTTTTGTTACTATCTTCTGAGGATATATACGATTGTGCAGCTAGAAAATGAATTCGCCGAAAAGAGTCTCTTCGCTGAACACTACTTGTCTCGGTTTTTCATCGGGAACTTGTGTTGTTTTTGCTTGTAAAATACGCTTTATTTACGAATTGCCAGCGCCTCCGCCATACACAAAAACTGAAACCTGGCGCCCTTTGTACCATTTGGCCTCACCTTGTAGATGATCTTGAAAGACGACTCTGGTGGAGCTGCGCTTTATTTATTTACCCTCTGCCCGGAGTTCTATTTTGACATACCTTTGTAAGTGTTTAGCAGACTTGTATGCATAACGAATTTTGTGTGATTTGATCGTGTTTGAATTCAATGACGCGGATCAAAGATTTTTCATATGCACGACGGTTTAAATTTATGTAGCTCAAACCAACAGTTGACAACTTCATGGATTGATTCCAGGTATTGATTTGACCGCTCACAACCCTTTTTGCTAATCTAATTCAATATCACTTAACATTACTGGTTGAGAAAAACGATGGACTGGTATAGACGACACCTGTCCTAACCATCTTAATCGATACAGCTTCACAACTTCATAGATTATTGAGTTTCCCTGCTTACTTGACTTTCTAAGGCAATTGTACTCACCCTTACCATATTACACCACTTCAAACACAACTGGCCTCTTCGAGTTTTCCATTTCCAATGGACGTGTCTGACAGTCCTAAAGAAGGGTGCAGCGAACTGCTACTCAGCAAACACGTCTCTGAGTGATCGCCGGATATCACGTCTACTCCCGGGATGACGTAAGTTGATAGATACCACCTGAGCCTGTTGTAACTGTGCTCAAATCAGTCGATTAGGGTTGATGCAACTTCTAAAATCAATAAAGTGGTCAAAATGCCCAACCACTTCATCTTTAGACTAGGAATTAATGTGGATTAGTCCTGTAGAGCATCGCCTTAAATTTGGCAGAAATGAATCACAGGACAAAGATTTCTGTTCAAGGTGTTCAGAAGACTCTTCATTTTATCAGCGTCTTCACTCAGAAGGATTATACCATCTGCATACTCTTAATAGACGAGACTGTTCTCTGGTAACAAGTCAGTGCCTAAGTCCCGAACAGGACCAAATCCATTGGTGTATCTATGTTGATATGGAACAGAAATAGGGACAGTAGGCAACCCTGACGGACACCATCGGTTGTTATTACCTCAGATGACAACTCTTCAAAAACTCTTACACGGCTGTATGTGTTCGAGTACGGTGCTTTGATTAGTATAATACAAGAGGTTGATGAGGTCTAATGACACTACCCAAAGTTGTGCAGATTGAAGTAGGTGGACTAGGACTTGAACTCGGTAGCTTTTCGTTGAATCTCGAGTATCTGAGCCAATAAATCATATCTGCACCTAACAAATGTGTAAAACTTCGGTGCTGCTGTGATAGTTCGTATCTCTATACTGATTGGTTTATTTGTTATATGACTCAGTCAACTAGTAAATAGGACTGTTTCACTGTTTTATATACATACATATAAAATAAATAAATAAACTAGTTGATAATTATCTTGGTTAACCTTCATTACTGTTTGGATTCTATCAGTCAAAGTTTAAGCACTGTCACAGTTCGAAATGTACTGAATTCAATCTTGCACAGTCCAAGGAAATAATTTTTAGATTATAGGTCTTTTTGTAGAGATTCGGATCAATTGAAATGTAGGTTCCACCACAAACCAACATCAGTTAGAGAATCGTTGAGAGCTAAGGAGTACTGGGCATCTGTTTCCCCCTAGTTTGGAGCTCTTCGTCAGTGTGCATCCACGATCTGACTGAGGATCGCATCCAAGACTTTTAGATAACGATGGTTGGCCTGTTGATCCGCAAATTTTAGCTTCTGTCAATTGGCCATATAACGCTACTGTTGGATGGTTAACAAGCTGACTTGTAAGTCCTGAGTTCGATCCCCGAGATGAGTATGTGAGTGCCTACTGCGGAACAGTCACAGACTAGGAAAAAACAGCTCAAGAAATAGGGTGGTTTGGAAGTGAGTCTAGCAATCCTACTCCTTAAAGAGAAACAACACTACCTCGATTGAAACTTCAAATCTCGCCGTCCTATATTCCTACTAGAAATGTGAGAAGTGAAATTTAAGACTGAAGAATACCTCTAGCCCTTCATAATAAATGTGTCACGTATAGCTAACCGGTTCATGTACATTGAAGAATATGATCCAGGTAATCATGAGATCGTTAGTATTAGATGGTCGACAGGGAGCCTTGGATACCTAGGTTTCGTGCTAGTTGGCACTCGTCAGCAAGTTGGTAACTGGTGTCCAATCAAAACTTGCATCTAGAGCATCTTTCAGTCTCTCCAGGATGTGGTGACTTAATATTTTGCTTAGATTGGACAGAAGCATGATTCTGTGCCATTTTGGGCATAGTTCTAAGTGTCTCCCTTCTTTGTTAGTTTGTCAAGGTGTCCATTCTTCTAATCAATAGGTAGGTACCTTTCCTTCGCTCCTTCCAAACTTTTCACACTAATGGCGTGAGGATATCCTCGGAAATCTCTGGATCATCAAATCAAAATTAAATCTACTGAGATCGGTCGGTCGGTTTTCGACATAGAACTTTGCACATATGTGCGGCAGTTCAAGTCGCCACACTCCCTTCATGTAGCACACAAAGCAAGAGAAGAAAGTAGGAGAAATGCATAATATGGTCAGTAAACAGAGGTGTGAGACAAAGATATAGTAAAAACGAAGAACAAAACAGTTTCATTGGAAATCGTAAGCCACAAGGAGTGGATGCATCTGCGCCACTGAGAACGATTTTGAGCCATATCACCGATTGTCTTCAGCCATTGGTTTTCACCGTCCCGAGGACCCCAACCAGGAAGTCTACACCTTCCTACGTAGCCTAGACTAACTGTTGTAGATTTCATTGACTGGTGCCATGTTTCGGTTCGACCGCCACTAGCTCTTTTCCTGCTTGACTCTATATCAGCTAACATTGCCCATCGAGGAAGGCGATGACTAGGCATACGTAACACATGTCCTAACCATCTCAGTCGATGTAATTTCACGGTCTCGTCGACTGATTTCCCCTCCTTAGCTATCACTCGACGCCTAACCTCAATATTGCTGACCTTATTATACCACTTCACACGGGAGATAGAACGCAGAACTCAGATCGAAGACAGCTAATCTTTTCATGTCTTCCACTCTCAATGGCCAGGTCTCACAGCCATAAAGGAGGACGGAGTGGACTACTGAGCAGTACACACGCCCTTTGGTCGGATATCACGTCTACGCCATCAATCTACTGAGAATCTTTTATCGCTCTTGTTTTATAGAATTCTGATGATGGATTTTATTGTAAACAGTATGCTGATTGCTTTATATGTTTATTTAACGAAGTAGTTATCATTTTGATTGGTTGAGTTTTAAGTGAAAGTTCAGCAGAAATTGGGGTTAAAAAAATAAATATTTATATACGTAAATTTCCTGTTTCCTCTTTCTTCTTATAGCAAAAACTGATTTGGCTCGCTACTGTAAATTTTCACATTTACGACATTATTTTACTCAAGTGTGGAAATCATTCTTAAACAATGATGTAAGTTTTATAATTTCATTATTATTATTACTCCTTTAGGTTCCGTCTGAAATGTAGGGTCTCAACACCACATCTCCATTTCACTTTCTTCTCTGCAGTCCTTTTTAGCTGAGGGGCCTGATTGTCCGTAGGCTTTCATCTCTTCTTCTTCCTCCTCCTCACACAATCTCCTCCATTTCACCCCTACATCGAGACCCAACTAATCGTTTCTCACTCGAGTCCAATCCGAGGGCCTGGCTGGCTAGCGTGCGGTGTCACTCAACGGTCTTCTTAGTGTGTGTATGTCTTACTCGCCTCCATTTTCTTCGGCGCATTTGTTGAGTGATAGGTTCTTGGTTATTTCGTTCTTGAAGCCCCTTGTTACTTATCCTTTCTGGCTGTTCACCTGATCTTCAGTATGGAAAGAAGGCAACTGTTGATGAAAGTCTAAAGCCTGTTCGAATTAATTTTCGTGATGCTCCTCGCGCCAAGTGCCTAAATCGCATGGAAACACTGACTAACTTGACATTGGTGTTTAATATCCGAGGTTCTTTTTCCTTATGCTTAGTACGGCAGATATTCACAATGATTTCTAGATTAATGAAGGTCTTTCTTGCCTTTCCGATCTTGGCTGGCTTTAAGATCCTCATCCGTGCATCTCGCCTGTAGTTGAAATGATGTTGTCTCTAGATACGTGAAAGAAGTGATTTCCTTCAAATTTTTCTTGTTGATATTGATTGATGTTTGCTGATGGTTCGGTTAGCTTCATTACCTCTATCTGTCTGTCTGTTTTCGACATAGAACTTTGCACATATATGCGGCAGTTCAAGTTGCCATACTCCATGTAGCACACAAAGCAAGGGAAGAAGAAAGTAGAAGAAATGCAACACACAGACAGTAAACAGAGGTGTGAGACAAAGGAATAGTAATAACGAAGAAGAAAACGGTTTCATTCGAAATCATAAGTCACAAGGAGTGAATGCATCTGCGCCACTGAGAACGATTTTGAGCCATGTCACCAATTGTTTCCAACCATTGATTTTTACCGCCACGGGGACCCCAACCAGGAAGTCTGCACCTTCCTACGTGGCTCAAACTAACTGTTGCGGATTTCATTGACTGATGAAGCCATGTTTTGATTTGACCGCCGCTAGCTCTTTTACAGCCTGACCCTATATCAGCTAACATTGCCCGTTGAGGATGGCGATGACTAGGCATACGTAGTACATGTCCCAACCATCTCAGTCGATGTAGCTTCATAGACTCGTCGATTGATTTCCCTGCCTTACCTAGAACTCGATGCCTAACCTCAATATTGCTCACCTTATTATACCACTTCACACAGGAGATAGAACGCAGACACCTATGATCGAAGACAGCTAATCTTTTTCATGTTTTCCGCTCTCAATGGCCAGGTCTCACAGCCGTAAAAGGGGACGGAGCGGAATGATGAGCAGTACACACGCCCTTTGGTCGATAGCCAGCTGGATATCACGTCTACGCCAGGGACGGCGTAAACTGGCATATGCGAAACTAGCCCTTTGTATTCGTGCTGAGATTTCGTCAGAGATCAACCCGTTGGGGCTGATGGTACTTCCCAAGTAAGTGAAGCGGTCAACGTGCTCTACCACTTCACTTCCTATTTCTAATCTATGGGTCGGTGTAGTCCAATCCTGTAACATCATCTTGCATTTGGTGGGAGCGAATCGCATGCCAAACATTCTTAGATTGCAGCTCAAGGTGTTCAGAAGACTCTGCATTTTGACAGCGTCCTCGCCTAGAGGGACTATATCGTCTGCATATTCTAAGTCAACGAGATTATTTCCTGGTAGCATGTCAATCCCTGAGTCTCTGAAGTGAGTTAGGGTTTAGTCCATTAGTACGTCTATGATGAAGTTGAATGGGAATGGGGATAATGGGCATCCTTGAAGGACGTCACTAGTCGTCACCACTTCAGATGACAACTCGCCGCAAGCCCTCACCTGGCTGCATAAGTACGAGTAGAGTGCCTTAATCAGTGCAATTTATCTCTATCTTCTCTAGATCTACTTATAGTTCTGTCTTCGTTGCTTCTTCCACCGACTTGCTGGTTTCCGTCTGTTTACTTCTACTAGTTTATACGCCACTAGACATAAGTCATCCGGAGAATCTAGATCTTCAAGAATCTTTTTATCTATCCAACGTATTGATGTTTCCTTGCTCCCCACGGTCTTCTGCATGATCCAGTCCACCATAATCTGGAATATCATCGTTGATAGTATGCAGTCTTGTCTTACTCCTGTCTTCAGAGGTTCCACTGAGTCTTCGGTTGTGAATTGCTTGACATATGGCATCGTTGTATGCCTGTTGAATGTTGTTGATAAAGGTTTGAGACACCCTGTGATGTTGCAACAGCTGCCGAATTGCTCCATGATCAACTGTGTAGAAGGCTTTGTCAAAGTCGCTAAAGTTAAAGCGCAGATTTGTTCAGTGATGATGCGTAGTGTTGCGATTTGATTCGCACATAATTTGCTTGTTTCTGGCGGAGTTCTGCATCTAAAGCATCTTTTACTCTCCAGGATGTGCTGACTTAATGTTTTGCATGATTCTGTGCCATTTTGGGCATAGGTCTAAGTCTCCCTTCTTTGGTAGTTTAATGAGGTGGCCATTCTTCTAATCAATAAGTACCTTTCCTTCCTTCCAAACCTTTTGCACTTTTTGAGGATATCCACTGAGATCTCTGGATCCGCTTTTAGTACTTTGGTCAACTTCTACAATCTCTCAATAAGTTCATTTTCTTCCTGAAAGATCCGTAACACAAAGAGTATTGATGTCGCGTGACCGTAGATTCCCAGGGCAGGTTACATAAGTCTTGTTTGAAGTAGTTTTTGTAGTCGTCTCCCTATTAAGATCTTACTAAGGTAAATTAAGATGGACAGTATTTACCGTTGACCCTTCTTAACTATTCCTCCTCATAGTGCAGATGTAACATAGCTGGCTTGCTAATCGTCTGAAGGAAACACCTTACCGCTGTTCTATCTCCGTCTGCCATGCATTCAGTCATTTGTTTTTCCCTCTCTAGGTTTGCAGAAACACTCTCTCGATGTAAGTTCTAAACATTAAAACTAGTTCAAACTAGAAGTTATTGGTATCAGTATAAAACTTGGGCACTGTGGTAGAGTATAACTCCATTATGGATAAGATTTTATTTTGACAAATCACACAGTGTTATACAGTAATATTAACTGATGACCACGTTTCGAGCACAAACTATTGCTCATAATCATATCAAGTCACTCACACAACTTTTTTCCTTCATTTATATACATGTGTGGAATTGACTAGATATTTGAATAAAAATCAATATAGGATAATGTACATTCAGAAATAATAATATGAGTGTTATTGGTCAATTACAATCACATGGAAACATTTATTTCCGATACGAATTTAAAACAAGCAATAAAGGTTAATAAAGCAGGATTTAATGAATTCATCAAATTTCGGTAGAACTGGTCAGCTGAATACTCTACATACACGGATATATACTTTTGAAATTACATGGGAAATAAAACGAGTGTTTTTATAGTCAAAATAAGTAACTTGTTAGAATGTTATGATGTACGTGAATTGAAATAGAATTTTAAGATCATTTATTATTCTCCTCTGATTTGACTGGCGGTAATATCTTCCATATTTCTGGTATTTGCATTAAGTCATTTCTGTTGCATGTGTTGGGTGTAGACTCAATGAACCAGGATTCAGTAATCAATCTCTCTCTCCACCTACATAGATTACTTCTTAGAATCTTAACCCTCTCCCACCCTATTGTGTGGTTGTGTGCTATTGCATGCAGTGCAATTGCTAAGCTTTTTTCTAAATTACTCATCTTCTCAGGATCAACCATTCTCACCTTAGCTAAATTCGTATGTTCTGACAATTTGATTACCCCCGATCTACTAGTTTGACCTATATAGTTGACCTCACAATCATTACAAGGTCCACCGGGTCTTTTAGCCTACAGAGCTTGTCTCTGAGTGAGTTTGTAGGTTTGAATGCCACCCTAATTCCTGCTTTATTAAGAATCCTACCTTGGGAGGGTCTCACATGTCCCCTCCTTATATGGTATAACAGTAGATGACTTATATTCTCTCTTATTTATGCTTTCATTACTAGTTTCACAATTATTTTTAATTTGCTTTTGGCCTTTTCCGATCTTCCTAATGAATTTTATAGGATAGTTAGTTATTTAACACCCCAGCTATTCCTCTATCTGTTTCATTTCATCGCTTAGGTTTTTGTTGTACTACTCAGTGTTGTTATTGCTCGGTTTGTTGGACACTTAACTAAGCCTGTCTCAAGAGTTAACGGACGAGATGAATTAAAGTTCAAATATCTATTAGCATAATGCGTTGGCTTTTTATAAACGCTATTGTGTAGTTTACCTTCTTCTATCCTTTTTATTTTACAATCTAACATCACAGCTAATTCTCCTCGTTCATTTTCCGATTCAAATGTGAATTTTATTCCGTCTACTAGTGAGTTTATATGTGTCAAGAAGCTAGAGATATGTTCTGTTTTTAACACTGTGAAAGTGTCATCCATATATCTCCACCATTTTTTTGGAGTAGGATTAAATGTATTAAGTGCCATATTTTCCCAGCTACCATGCATAAATATATCTGCTACGATATTGCTACACCTTCTGTTTGTCTATATATTTTGCCTTGGAATTTAAAGGTAGTAGATGTGAGGCAGCATAACTGAATTCCTAAAATAATTTTCTCAGTGGGCAGCTTTGTCCTATGAGTGAGTTCAGGATCTGCAGTTAGTTTGGATTTCAGTATGAGTTAAAAGGTTTTAAGCCTATTACTCTGGTTGGAAGACTAACTCGTGAACCAATGAGAAGTTGTATCTTTATTATTACTATTATTATTATTATTATTATTATTATTTCCGTTACTAATATGTTTCTATTTTATTTTTACCTCTCATCCTCATCATCATTCTAGTTATCCGATGATACACGCGTAAATGCAGTTCGAATTTTAGGCGATGGACATATAAATCGTCTTAGTGAAATTCGTCTACTAGCTGATTATATTCTACCAATTTTCGATCCTGATCCAGAAAATAAGCTACCTGAATCAGAAGCGATAAAATTTCCAACGAGTTGGTCACGTGCAGTTGCTCATACAGTCCTTGGGCTGATTGCTAGAGGAGATTTAAATTATCCACGTTTATATATCAGACTGTATCGTTTATTGGATGAAAGTCTGTTCCAATGTCCAAATGCTAAACAATTTTTAATTACTTTAGATATATATTTAAGTTCAATGTAAGTGTGTGTGTGTGTACATGAATCATTTGTTTTTTCTGCGATATAATATGCATTTTCTCCTGAATAAATCTCGACTATCAGTGCGTTGGTGGTAGAGTACTCATCAACCACACATGTGGTCTTTGGTTCGACTCCCAACGGATGCACTTCTTTTTTGACATAGAACTTTGCACATATGTGCGGCAGTTCAAGTCGCCACACTCCCTCCTTGTAGCACACAAAGCAAGAGAAGAAAGTAGAAGAAATGCATAATATAGACAGTAAACAGAGGTGTGAGACAAAGGTATAGTAATAACGAAGAACAAAACAGTTTAATTGGAAATCATAAGTCACAAAGAGTGGATGCATCTGCGCCACTGAGAACGATTTTGAGCCATGTCACCAATCGTTTCCAACCATTGGTTTTTACCGTCCCGAGGACCCCAACCAGGAAGTCTAAACCCTCCTACGTGGCCTAGACTAACTGTTGTGGATTTCATTGACTGATGAGGCCATGTTTTGGTTTGACTGCAGCTAGCTCTTTTCCAGCCTGACCCTATATCAGCTAACATTGCCCGTTGGTCAAGGAAGGCGATGACTAGGCATACGTAACACATGTCCTAACCATCTCAGTCGATGTAATTTCACAGTCTCGTCGACTGATTTCCCCTCCTTACCTAGCACTCGACGCCTAACCTCAATATTGCTCACCTTATTATACCAGTTCACACGGGAGATAGAACGCAGACACCTATGATCGAAGACAGCTAATCTTTTCATGTCTTCTGCTCTCAACCGATGCACAATTAAACGTCACTTAGCTGGTGGTAGCAAATCTGGTAAAGAGAGGAGGTTGAGCTTAAGCTAGTAACCTCACTGCTGCTGTATATTGAATACTTGAGCTTGAAACGGATAGAAATGAGTGAAAGTCGACCTTAGTTTTACCTGTATATGTGGTTTCTCAAAGAGTGACTTATGTGTCCTCTTACTCATTCCTTGCATTCCGAATAGCATATACGGCTTGTTCAAGCTTTCGGAATTTCAGTAGTAATGGTAGGTAGGGTGTTTCTAGCTTGACGCCTAACCTTCCTTCCTTCTTTAATTGGGCTTATTGTCGACTGGTAGACTAAGCGAGGTTTAGGAGTATGTCGGCCGGGAGTCGAACCCGAACCACTTGCTTGGCTGTGGTAAGCATTGTACCGTTGAGTTACCGACGCATTTCATATAAAGTTAAATACGAATGAGAACTCTAAAAATTAAGTTTCAAAGTTGGGTATTTACAATTGGTGAATGAATTGTATTCGAAACGTCATTCAGTAAATAATACTGTTTCATTGTGTGTGATATATACAATAAACAAATTAATATGGAATTATATGCTTAGAATGGTGGCCACATTGCAAACCTGACTGATAGAATTCAGTCTGCACCAAAGAAAGGACTAGACACATCACACTAGTTGCTAGTGTCCAATCAAAGTATCCACTACAGTCCTACAGGAGGTCAATCGCCAGCCCGAATAACTCTGTGGTAATGTTTCTGACAGCAGCACTGAGTGACGCGGGTTCGAATCTCAGAAGGGGTACGAGTTCCTTCGAAGTTGTAGATACGCCTTGCTGACTGATGAGTGCCAACTAGCACGAAACTTACGTCCAAGGCTTCCTACCGATTGCCTCCAACCATCTTATGTGGAATTATATATACGTGTATGAACAAAGATGTGTTTCATTGGTTTAAGCACTTGATTTACAACCAATCGGCCCTGGGCTTGAGCTCCGCTCCACCTACGTCATCCTGAACAACTCTGGGTATTATCATCAATCCTCCTCACAAAATAATTGTGTGGCTCATAGCCTGATGCATTCGAAATCTATCTTGGTCGGCTAAGTTCAAACAAATTTTTGTATTAAATATTTATAATTGAAGACTTTTATGCTACTGATACAGATTAGAGCTGTAGTGGCAGACCAACCAACCACTGGTTCAAGGGTTCGAACCCAGCTCCACCTTCCAAGGTTTGGACGGCTAGGTAGTGTCACTAGTCTTTTCACACACACAATAGGTATGGCATATTGCCAGCCACATTGGATTGTGCAGGTTTTTGTTGAGTAGCATTTTAGTCTTCTTCACGGAGAGATTGAAGCATTTGTAGGTATGTTTTCAACTCAGTAATGTACCTGCATCTTCAGACTAATTGTCTATCCTCTCATAGGATTTCAACCGTATTCCATTTCAAACTACTACAGAAGTCACTGATAGTTGTTAGTTGGTTGCTTACTATTTTTGGTGGATGTAACGTAATGTGTTCATATCACTGTTAAGCGATCTCGTACGGCGAAGGCCGGTGGTCGACTTTGTCTTCCTCTAGAAATGCTCTCATGTGACCACGCGTTCATAGCATCTGCCTTCACGCGATGGAGGTGTTCCTCACAAAAGTGAAAGGATGAACGAGAACGTCTGGCGCTTACTAGCGGACTGATTAACATGAAGTTCTACCTAGCGGTTGGTGGTTCTGGGTAAACCTAATTCCAAACCTATGGTAGACACATGGCCTCCAGAATACAAAAGGATCGAATGGCGTATGACCCTGTATTGGTCACCAGCAACGATGGAAACGCAGCTGCATCATGCCCATTTAAATCAGACTTCAAGTCAAAGGCTCGTGGGGGTGTGGAGTCCCTTACAACAACCACTCGCCTCTTTGTGACCATCCGGACAGTATCCCATCCATCTCACAAACGAAGAGATTTCCTGTGGTGTGCATCTCTTGATGTGTGTACCAAGTTTTTGTGTTTTTTTAATGAATAATAACTGGTAAATTCAAAGTCAAAAATCATTAATCCAGATCAAATTTCTTATTCTCTTTCATTATTTATATGATTAAGTTAGTTTGTTGATATGCTTTCAATGTCTCCTCTTCTCTTTTTTTAGGCATTTAGCTACATCAGTTGTTGCTTCTTTTATAAAACGATTATCCCAGTTATCCTTGTTCAGTCCACCGGTATTAACACCTGCCATCCTTTTAATCATCTCAAATTGTTTAAAACGTCATTCTCAATGTCGGGTTTTAATTAACTATAGACCAAAACGTTCGCAGGTAGTAAATAACACACAGGCTGATCATGATGGTGAGGATGCTGATGGTAATGTTGATGAGAACTCGAAGAACACCTCAATGGATGTAAGTGCCTACCTTTTTTCTTCTTTCCACTGAACAGCTATTACAGTTTTCTTATCAGAATTATAATATTCATAGATAAATGATGATTTTCCTGATTGCAGTAGACTGGATAATGCGACAGGCAGCGAGGAAACAGGCATAAAATGAACCAACACACAAAAAAGCTTGGAGGATTTGGACTTCAACGATGATATATGTCTGATTTCCCACACACTGAAAGATATGCAAGTGAAAAGCAACAAGTTTACAGAAAAAGCATCAAAGATAGGACTTCCTTCAGGTGGACATAGAGAAAACACAGGTGATGAAGATTCCTGGCCAACAGCAATAGCAACAACAACAACAGATAACAATCAGCATAAATAGGAGAAATCTGAAAGAAGCAACTTCCCTTACCTACCTACCTACCTGGGAAGCATCGTTTCAACTACAGGCGGATGGAACTAATGAGAATATCAAAGTGAGGATCGGCAAAGCAAGGCAAGCTTCCATTACTCTCAAGTCTGTATGAAGATCAACAGCACTCCTCAGCATGAAAAATAAGATCTGGATTTTCAACTCCAATGTGAAGTCAGTGCTACTATATGGATCAGAGACTTGGTGCCGCTTGATGAAGAGCACTTCGAACAAACTACAGACTTTCATCAACAACTGTCTTCGCTCAAAACTACTCAAGATCAGATGGCCGGCCAGAAAAGATGAGCGATAGTGAGGGATCTCTTGGAGTGAGCCAACCCAGCAGGTACCAATTATGCAACAAATATGCAGGAAGAAATGAAGGTGGATTGGCCATACTCTGTGAAGAAGCACACCATCAAGTGACATTACACTTCAGGCCATCGCTCGAGTGGAACCCGAACGGGAAGCGGCGAGTTGGTCGTCAGTGTGAAGGTGACATGGAGGAGGAGGTCATGTGAAGAGAAGATGAAAGCATGTGGGCAGACGTGGAGCCATGTGAAAACGTTGGCGGAGAACCGGAACGCAATGGAGACGTGCAGCTGAAGCCCTATGTTCCTCTAGGAACTAACGGAGACAATAATAATAAATGTTGGATTTCTTCAATGTATGCAAAATTCCTTTATAACGTAATTACAAAACACTTAAGTCAGAAAAGTAATTTCTGTTCCTAACTTCACTCCAAAGCTGTACAGTTATATAACCAGTCATATGTAGAGATTATTGTCAGGTAGTAACAAAGATGAATCAAAGTGTATAAGAAGAAATAACTGTGTGAAATATAATAAGTAATAATCTTAGGTGTAATCGAGAGGGTTGACAACTCAATAATTAAGTAATGAATAATCATTTGGGAAATAATTGATGCGAAACAAAGAGAACAAAGGAGCGAAAATGGGTGAAACATTTATGAACACAAAGTTCCGCTTTTTCCGTATGTTATAGCTTGACCTTCGGCTGTATAAAGAAGATGTAGGCGAAATCCTTTTGAATTGTTTGATCTTACTCTTTCTGCTGATGTTGCGTGGACAGAAGTAATTGTGTACTCCAGAAGTGAGCTGTTGACTGTTGTGCGTTCTCCTTTCACCAACTATCCTGGTAGGTGTTCATAAGTGCGTTTAGACAATGTTGTCCTAGTAAACGGCCTATATAATTAACTCCACAGGAGTGCAAGTGAACCTTGTGTTTGACTTTTCTGTGGATAACAGCATGTTTGGAGATGGTGAAGCATAAAGATGTGGTAAAGACCGTGCTTAGAATTGCTCTTGATAGACGGCTTTGGTGAACTTCTTCACTAATTGTATCTCTTTGAATTTCAGATTCACAATTGGCTGTTTCTTCGGCAAATCCATCATCTAACTATTTAATTGTTAGTGTAGCGACTTGTGGTGTGAACACTAACCTGAAGTTTCTTGAGTTACCCGCAGTCTAAAACTGTCTCGGTGATAACAAAAAGACAGTTATTGGTATTAAATGGTTGGAGGCAATCGGTCAAAGGAAGCCTCCCCGCTAGGTTTCCTGCTATTTGGAACTCATCAGCAAGGTGTATCTGCAACCTTTAGGGAACTCATGTCCCTTCCGAGATTCGAAACCACTTCACCCAGTGCTGCGGTCAGAGACGTTACCACTCAGCTATTCGGGCTCGCGACTGACCTCATGTGGGACTGTATTTGATATCTAATACCAACAATACACAGTACACCGTGATGTCCAGCTACCTAGCATGATGGTCACATTGCGAACTTGACAGATAGAATTCAGTCTGCACAAAAGAAAGGACTAGACACGCACACTACATTAGTTATTCACTAGTGTCCAATCACAGTATCCAATACACTCCTACAGGAGATTAATCACGAGCCCGAATAGCTAAGTGGTAAAGTCTTTGACTGCAGCACTGGGTGACGTAGGTTCGGATCTCAGAAGGGACATGAGTTCCCTAAAGGTTACAGATACACCTTACTGATGAGTTCCGACTAGCGCGAAACCTAGTGGGGAGGCTTCCTTTGACCGATTACCTCCAACCGCCTAATACCAACAAGTCACATTGCACAGTGATGGCGAGCCACCTAGCACAGTGGCCACACTGCGAACTTGACTGGTAGGATTCAGTCTGCATCAAAGATAGGATTAGTTACACACATACACATTGCACTAGTTACTGACTAGTTTCCAATCAAAAAAGAAAGTTATTTGCGATAACATATCAAAACTCAAAATTACCTCAACAGCGCCATTAAGCAGCTATACAGGTTTTAGAATTCTCATGTACAAAATAAGTACTGTACACCAAAATTAGTTAGCCGAAAATTGACTGTAAGAAGTGCCTGACAATCAAGTAGAATATTTGCAACAGGGTGAAATCCAAACCCTGTCAACAAGAATCACGTACCGAACACTTCCTGCAGACAGTTCAAGGTCAAAATCCCCGTGGGAAACCTTGACTTCATTTAAACAAAAATCATAATCCTAAAACAACACATTATTAACACCACACAACCGCAAAAGAGAAGCATTTAAATTAAGAATTAAACAAAGACAAATAATTAGGATTAATATTCAAGTGTTGGTTTGCAGGGATTTTATTGGTTTCAGGATTTCATCATGAACTGACGTTGGTTAGAGGACCATTGGAAAACCTTCAGAGAGTACTGGACAGCTGTTTCGTCAACCCGGTTTGGGATTCTTCATCAGTACACACCCACCCGGGCTCGAACCCAGGGCCTTCTGGTTACAAGGCGAGCTTGCAGAACATCAAGTTGAAGAGTCCGAAACTAGGACGAAGCAGCTGTACTTTACTCCCTGCAGGTTTTCCAATGATCCTCTAACCGATATCAGTTCATGCATGATGAAATCCTGAAATATGGATTAAGCCAACAAACGTCAGAACAATGATATATAGCCTAGGCGAAAAGAGGATAATAATTACGAAGTTAGTTGAAGTGTTTAAATAAGTATCAATATTTGTAAACAGATTGTTCGGGAGGTGTTATATGCGCGCTTCCTATTGTTATAACGGTAATGAACTCGACTGGTACACGCTAATACGCCTATTCGTCCGTTGTGCCTTCCTCTTCACTGAGCCACGCAAATATCAAAAGACAAAGGCTGGCCTGTGACTGTAAGATACTGTATATTTATCAGGTTCAACAAATCATATTTATACATTTTCTTTACCGCAATACAGTCGGCTTACAACCGTAGGATTGGATTGTTCTTATTGGTTGGCAATAGCTATTCTGATTGGTTGGCGATTCGACAAAGATTAAGGTGAGACAAAAAATGATGAATTGATTACACAATAAATCACAATATGTGTGAGAAATGATGGATTTATATAGCAACTTCATCTCAAGATTCGTGAGTACGGATGATATACTGTTTTCCAAACGGTTATTCCATCACAGTCAGACCTCTCGATTACCCAAGATTATTCACCACTTTCACACACTGTTATCTCTCATACATTTTGGTTTATTTTTGTTACTGATTGACAGTAACCTATTAACTTTGCTGTCAATTGACATTTTACATGTATATAAACATCTTGATAACTAACTGTCCAGCTGTGAAGTTACGATGTTACGAAAAGATTAAAGTTGCTTTATTTCTATTTGATATATTTTTTTTTTCTCTTCTGATTTCTTAGGTACAGTCAATTGGTGATCCGTACAACTGGGAAGCAGAAACCTTTGAAACATCTAAAGCATTAGATAGTAGTCTATGGGAAGTATCTGCTCTGACTGGTCACTATTCACCGAGTATCTCAGAGTTAGCAAAGAAAATTTGTAATCCTGATCCATTGGATTCAAGTGTTATTTCTGTATCTGATATAATTGATAAAGAGGTGCAGGTAAGCCGATTTCTGGCGTTCAATAGTTTCAATGGTTTGGTGTCCTCTTGAAGTCTTTGATATTGAATTCATATAAAATTGGCTTTATCCTAGTTGTATTGTATTTTTATTATATTGCAGTCAGGAAAGCAAATCAATCGATGCGATTGTGGAGCTTCTATTGAGAGATGGTCAAGGCACGTGTTATGTCTATGGTTCAGTGTTAGAATACCCGCCAACCACACTGCACTAGGTTCGGGTTTCGAACCCTGGCTGACACACTTCTAAACCTCGCTTAGCCGATAGTGAGCCCGGTAAAGAGGGAAGGTTGGGCATGAGGCTAGCAACTCTACCCGGTTAAAAGGCATCACTTCTACTGCAACTTCAAAAGCTCAAGCTTGAAGTCCTATGTTCCACCACTCGGACCTCAAAGGAGTAAAATAGTATAAATAAGGACACGTGTTACACATGCCGAGCCACTGCCTTCCTTGTCGAGCAATGTTAGCTGATATAAGATTACAGTGGGAAACACGTATAGTTGGTTAAACCAAAACCTGTGATCATTCCATTAAGTCTTTGATAGTTAGTTAGTTTAAGCCAGCCACTTAGGGAGGTGTAGGCTGTCTGTATGTGGAATGCTCTAGGATTCTTAGAATTAATGCCTGGAGACTTTTGGTGAAATGCCTCAAAGTCGTTTTTGAAGTGGCGTAGACGCGTTAACTCTTTGTGATCTCCTAGGTCCATTAAACCTTAATGTTTTTCCATGTTACTATTCTTTTCATTCATACATTTTCTGCTCCTTATAGTTCCTTTTTCTCTCTCTGTATTGTCTTTCTCTGAATGTGTCAACTTGTAATGTTACCTTTCTTTCTGTACAAGATTCTATGTTGAAATCCAGTCAGTCAGTTGTATATCGCTATCTTTTCCCAAGTATACTGACAATCGTAATATTTAGTTAAAATGTAAGAATAGAATTTAGGTACTGTGGTAGTATTTCTAATTCCATATTAATTTGTTCATTCGATATATCACACATACAATGAAACAGTATTCTTATTTACTGGATTGTTAGAAGATTCTATTATAAGTTCATCATTCTTTTTGTTAACTCTCTCCATTAATTTGTGTTTTAACGGATCAATTTCATTTCGGACAATGCGTAACTTTTTCACTATTCTCTAGATTCCTTCTTTTAAGCATATTTTTTTATGTAGTCGTTCTGTAACGCGAGAAGACAAGAGACTTGGTAATGGACATTTTTATTGAGGGAAAATACACCATATTTTTACATTTTCAAGCCATATTTAAGGTCGGCTAGGTCAGCGGATAATACACTGTTCTGATTGGTTGTTGGTTTTCTGAAGGTTAAACCCTTGTGACGAGAAGTTGTCCAATGAGATCATTTTCTGATTACAATGTAAGCTACAATCCGGATTTCAGGAATAAACACTTCTACTTCCGTAGCGGCTGACTTAAAATGTTGTTTTCAATTTTGGCTACTTCCTATCGATCTGCACACACCACGGTTCTATTGCTTCTCTAGCTTTGTCTGTTGGAACTGAATCTTTCAGGCGTAGATATTTAGCAATAATTTCCAAAGTATTTTGAATATTAAGTTAATTTGTGTATTTTTATTTTGTCTGATAATCAGATCAGTAGGATTCTTCAGTCTACAGCGCTTGCTCCTGAAGAGAGAGGAGGAAGATTTAAACGCCATCCTATTTCCTGCCTTCTTAAGAATTATCTGTAGGGTTTTCGATATCCTTTTTTATATGGTGAAACTGCAGTTGCCTTAAATTCGTTTTCATTCATGTCATGATCAGTAGTTCCTCTACTGCTCTTCCCTTTCTTTTGACCTTTTCTGATCTTCCGAATGAATTTTATAGGATAGTTATTCAATACCAACACTTTTTCTATCCGTTTCATTTCATTATTTAGGCTTTTTGGTGTATTTCGTAGAGTTATTGCTCGGTTTGTTAGATATTTAACTGAGCCTACCTTCTCAGATAATGGGTGAAATGAATTAAATCTAAATATCTATTAGCAGGGTGCGTTGGCTTTTTATAAGTAAGAGTACATAGTACGTTTCTCAGCTTTCTTTTTAAACTTAGAATTAAATTTATTTAAATATATATATATATATCGTGGAAATACGTATTCATCACTAGATTAGTAATGCAAAATACAATGGACGACGTCTACTGTCTCAACTACAGGAGGAACGGACGAGGATGTCAAATCGAGAATTGGGAAGGCGAGAAACACATTCATCCACCTGAAACCAATCTGGAAATCTTCGTCACTCAGCATCAACAACAAAATTCGGATTTTCAATTCAAACGTCAAGTCAGTTTTTCTATACGGGTCAGAAACTTGGCGGGTGACAAAGAATATTTCCAACAGCCTGTTGCAGACCTTTATCAACAACAGTCTTCGTTCTATACTGAAGATCAGATGGCCGGAAAGAATCACCAACAAGAAACTACGGGAACAAACAAAACAAGAACCGATCGTTCAACAAATATGCAGGAGAAAGTGGAGATGGATTGGACACTCGCTGAGGATGACATCGCGCGTCAGGCCATAGCTCGAGTGGAATCCGAAAGAGAAGCGGCGAGTGGGACTTCCAAGGGTGACATGGAGGAGATCGTGTGAAGAGGAACTAAAACAGTATGGATTAACAGGGATGCAAGTGAAAAATACAGCAGAAGACAGAATCAAGTGGAGACGTTGTAGCAGTTGAAGCCCTATGTTCCACTAGGAACCCAAGGGAACAATAGTAATAATACGTCTACTGTCGTGTTTTACACTCTTAAGTGCATGTAAACTTTAGGAAATTGATTATTTATTTGATTTCCCTCCTTGATTGATTGAATACATTGAACTAAAATGCTCAGACTAATCAAAAAGGACTATGTCATATTGCGCAGGTTTTTAAAGGTTGTCAGTAGAACAAGTGGTGTGTCACTAAGTCTTACTGTAGTCGATAAACACCTCAACTCATATGAGAAATGGTCTAAATCTATATCGTCTGATCCTCAACACTCCCTCTGTTCTCAACTCTCTCCTTGTTTCTCATCTGGTGGAACTAGAAGTCATTATAAAAGAATATATGCTAGGGGTACCAAGTTTAGGTACTCAATGATACAGTATTTGGCCCGGGTCTTATGTAATAGAGTTTGTTTTAGGCGAGAAACCTACGACTTACAGTATTATTAACGAAATAATTGGCTCTTTTGTTCTCTCTCTTATTTCTCATTTATGATGACACTATTTCAATCAACTTGTAGTTTTAGTTACTAACATTATTATCATCATCATGTCTGCGTTCTATCTCCCGTGTGAAGTGGTATAATAAGGTGAGCAATACTGAGGTTAGGCGTCGAGTGCTAGGTCAGGAGAGGAAATCAATCGACGAGGTTGTGAAATTACATAGACTGAGATGGTTAGGATATGTGTTACACATGCATGCCTAGCCATCACCTTCCTCGACGGGCAATGTTAGCTGATATAGGGTCAGGCTGGAAAAGAGTCAGTGGCGGTCAAACCAAAACATGGCCTCGTCAGTCAATGAAATACACAACAGCTAGTTTAAGCCAGTCACGTGGGAGGGTGTAAACTTCCTGACTGTTTGGGGTCCTCGGGACGGTAAAAACCAATGATTGGAAACAATTGGAGATATGGCTCAAAATCGTTCTCAGTGGCGCAGATGCATCCACTCCTTGTGACTTATTATTTCCAATGAAACTGTTTTGTTCTTCGTTATTACTATTCCTTTGTCTCACATCTCTGTTTACTGTCTATATTATGCATTTCTCCTACTTTCTCCTCTTGCTTTGTGTGCTACATGGAGTGTGGAGACTTGAACTGCCGCACATATGTGCAAAGTTCTATGTCGAAAACAGATAGACAGACATCATAATTATTTTACACTTTTGTACATTTTTGACTTTATTGTCACTGCAAATACCAAAATAACTGCCATTATTCAGTCCTGTGATATTATTTTTCTATATTATTGTTTTTGATTTTGTCGAGTAAGTTAGATACAATATTGTACTAAGTGCTAAAATTTCCACACTGTTATCACAGGTACCGTTTCGGGACAAAGGAAATTATTATATCTACTGACCTATCGGCTGCTAGTACGGATACTTCGACGATGTCTTAAAGTTAACATAATATTATTTGGTTGGTTGATTGTTGACTAGCACTGGAAGCTAAGATACACATTTCGTCAGATTTACATGCATGCATCGCCAATTGGTGGTGATATTCCCAGCACCCTTTCATTTCAAACACAGATGTGCTCTCCACTAGGCCGCGATAGCCACCTCTTTGTTTAATATTTAATCACGAGTGGAAATCACTTAGAGAACCAGTGAGAAACCGGGATGTACCGAACAGCTGTTTCATTCTACTTTGGGACTCTTCAGCAGTATACACATCAGTACTCTACCGACTAGTTAATTGGGCGAGTTTTAGGAGTATGTGTCAGTCGGGAATCGAACCTAGACCTGTGACGTGGTTGGTGAGCCTTCTATTACTGAACCATCGATGCTGCACAACACTATAACCATAATTATTTTGCACTGGCAAACATTTTAAATTGTATTATAATTTCTATTTATTCCCCTAAGTTTTTGTTTCTCTATTTTTACAGGCTATGAAGAAAACAAAGAAATCTGTGAAGGAAGCGATGTATATATTATCACAAACAAATATGACTATGCCAGAATTACCACCTCTTGATGGTTGGGTGTAAATATAATACATTTGCATACATGATATATTTTTCTGTTGTTCATCTGAACTTATGATTTCGGGCGATTATAAAGCATATCCCTTTTTTGAAGTGGCGCTATCTTCATCCAGTGGATATCCGGCTATCGACCAAAGGGCGGGTGTACTGCTCAGCAGTCCGCTCCGTCCTCTTTTATGGCTGTTAGTAAGACATGGCCATTGAAAGTGGAAGACATGAAAAGCCTGGCTAGCTGTCTTTGATCATAGGTGTCTGCTGCCTATCTCCCGTGTGAAGTGGTATAATAAGGTGTTAATGTTGAGGTTGGGTGTCGGTCGAGTGCTAGGTAGAGAGACGAAATCAATCAACGAGGTTGTGAAGTTACATCGATTCAGATGGTTAGAATATGTGTTACACATGCATGCCTAGCCATCGCCTTCCTCGACGACGGGCGATGTTAGCTGATATCAGATGGATCAGGTTGGGAGAGAGCTAATGTGGTGGTCAAACCAAAACATGGCTTCATCAGTCAATGAAATCCACAACAGTTAGTTTAACCCAGTGTATACTTCTTGACTGGTTGGGGTCCTCGGGATGGTAGAAACCAATGAAGGCTTGAGACGATTGGTGCTATGGCTCAAAGTCGTTCTCTGTGGCTGGCGCAGATGCATCCACCTCTTGTGATTTATAATATCCAATAAGACTGTGTTGTTTTTTCACATTACTCTTCTTTTTTCCCTCACACTTGTGTTTATCACCTCTCTTTTGAATATCTCTTTTCTCTTTCTTTGTGTGGGAGTGTGGCAACTCGAACTGCTGCACATCTGCGCAGAGTTCTACGTTGAAACCAGTCAGTCAGTCATCCGGTAGATATTAGAATGCTTCAAGAAATATGCCAACAATATTTCATGAAAATTAAATAATATGCGTTTAACTCTTGAAATTACTACTCCATTTAATCGATTATACTGTGCAGATATGTCAGCATCAAGGTAGATTTCCTGATATAAAAGTGTGGCAATTCAATAGAATAATGTTATCCGATAATATATACGTCAGGATAAAACATTTTAATGCAAAATTTCATTTAAAAAATATATATAACTTATCATTTAGCCGCCATAGCAACGGACATTACTACTAGAGGGGATGTACAATAAAACCACTCCGTTTGAAGGCAATAGTATAAAGAATAGATACCCAAGGTCAAATGCCCCTGAACCAGACAGTCACGTGCCTCTAGGTGAAATGTGTTACTTGTAGTATAAAAGAGTATGTTTACTGGATATACGTCTAGTCGATGGGAATTATGTAGGGTTTATGTTTCTAAAACACTGCAAAAAGCGGCTTCCGTTTTCCATAGGGTTGGCCATGGTAAAGAAGCCAGAATCTGTACAAGTACCAGTTATAGGATCCACTGATGAATGATTGACTTTAAGATGAATATAACCTAATGATGACAGTAACATTGCTCAGCATTTCAAATTGGTCCTGCTCATAATCATCATTGCAAGTTTTATCCTAATCGTCGCTACAGGTTTCACCTTAACCATTGCCCTACTTTAACCGTGAATCTTGCAATGAGGATTATAAGAAGTATTCACTTGCAATACTGAGCAATCTGATTAGTTGGTCCAAGGTCATTTGGCTGTAGTATATATTCTTCACTCTTGTCCATTTGATATTGTGATAACTATATTTTGCAAATATAGGCCATTTTTTTCCTTTACGTTCCCAGTGTAACATGAGGCTTCAAGCTAGATGCTTGAAGTTTCGGTAGCAGTAGTATTTATTTTATTACGGGATTTGGTCGCTAGCCTCATGCCCAACCTTTCCTCTTACCAGTCTTATTAGGCTGGGGATCAAACCCCGAACCACATGAGGCGTGGTTGGCGAGCATTTTACCTCTGTGTCACAGACGCACTAGCCCATTTTTAGTGCTTCCTATATTTACCACCATTTGAAGGCTGTATTTTCATTGGTAGTCAACTCTTTTGACTCGCCGGAGAATTTAGTGCTTGCCATGGTCATTTAGGACCTATGCATTCAGCACCACTGCTAAATCTTTGGGACTTTATTTCAGCTAGCAAAAGCTTTCTTGTTAACAGTTCATCTTTTCTCTTGTTTCCGTGTGACAATTGTACTGTTGATGTTGTAATTAGCAGTTAAGGGTTCACACAGATCTCAGTTTCCTAGGTCGTGTTACCTAATCTTCTACTCTGAAGTCTAATCCCATGAGCCATAGCACCGCTTGTGAAACGCTCAATTATCAAAGTAGACATATTAACGATCAGGTATTTTTGACTGAGATGAAAGAAGGAATACGCACGCGCTACTAAATCAATTTTACAAATGATTATAATCTTACTTACTGTTTGACTATGAAATCTGAATACCTATACAAAAGCCTTCTGCATTCATCATGAAATATTTAGCGCAATCTTGTCGTGGCTATCTGGTATTTTGCATCTTCTATGTGTACCTAATGTTTTAACCTGAAAGTGAGGCAAACTCCTTGATATTACACCATATTCTGTATTGAAAGAGGAGTTTTGTGCTTTGAAAAAAATTAATGCTTGTGTTCGCTATGGTAAACTTGAGAAAAGCTGCAAGTTTCTCTACTATCACAAAAGTTTCAGTTGTACTATTCCTCCAGTAGAGGTAAGTTTAACAGATACTCGGGGACTGAACTATTAGCTGACTAACATTGTCCACTTAATAACCATGTAGAATAATACTCAGAGTAGCATTTGCAATGTATGAACTTTGTTGGGCCAATTTAACTTTTTCGACATAGAAGACTTTCTTTTCTAAACAGTCTTTTATCTTTTAGATGCGTCCACGAGTATTTTCGGTCCGCTCGACGTTGATATTAAAAAAACTTGCCACATTGAAAGGAATGAAAAGAACAGAATATATTGAGTTAAGTAGTGCAGAAACATGTGAGAACTCTGTTGAAGTTCAATCATGGAAACGCTCATCAAGATATTTTTCATAAGTTTAAGGGATAGAAAATCTTCACCTTAGGTGTTAGTGAGTTTCTTATGTTTTTGATAAGGATTTGCATGATTTTCGAATCCGCACGCCGATTTGTGATACATCATCTTCTAGATTTTGTCACGACGTCATGTTTTGACGATTATTTCTCCTTTTACCAATATAAAGATTAAAAATTTGTGAAGTTTGTTGAGATTACAGTAGCAAAAGCGTGTAGAAATCAGTACAGCATACATCTTACTGCGTTTCGCAATCCATTCACCTTTGTTTATTGATCTTCCATTGACGATGCATTAGCTCATTCTTTCTGAATATTACTTTTATTGTTCCCTTGAGTTCCAAGTGAAACATAAGGCTTGTCAACGGACGTGAACATTGAACGTTTGTTTTATTGGAACTGGCAACCATTGGCGGGCAATTGAAGGCGCGAATGGTCGATCGCTTGCAAGTTGAAAGAAGACTGGAGTTAAATACGAATAAAAGTACTTTATAACTTCATTTGTACTCAACATTTGTTTGTAGACTTTGTATTTTTCGTCAATTTAATTGCCAAACAATATAATTTCGTTCAAGGAATACTGGTGTTTTGGATTTAAAGTTGAAGAAAGTGCATAGTATTTATCGGCTCAATCGCTTAAGTCTTCATTACGATAGGAACTTAGGGCTAAGTTCCTTGACAGTTTTTATTCTTCTCTACGTCTTCGTGGGCGCCTTCTGGAAATCGTCCGGGTGTACTTACTAGATCTGCAGCCAGCTTCTCTTTGGTCAAGTATTATCAACGCAATTTGGATTCTTTGGTGACGTTGGATAATGCCTGGGTCAAGAAAGGGATGTGGCACCATGGAAGCAGACAAAAAAGTAAGTAACGATGAGTTGCCTGTTAATTGTAATGATATGTATGATGCTCAGCATGTTGAGTTTGATGTTCACGCTTCACCGTTAAGTGATAGTAAGGGTTTACGATTGCCTAAGTTTGAACCGCGATACTTCGATGGAAACCCAGCCGACTACCCACAGTTCATCAAAGAGTTTGAGGTCATGCTGAGTGGTTTTGTATTAAATGATGAAATGAAGTTAATGTATTTGTTGAGATATTACACTGGTGTGGCTGCAAGAGCCTTACAGTGCTGTAAGTTTATGCCCCCGAACGAAGGATATGCTGAGGCAATGAAGATACTACGTCAAAGGTTTGGGAGGCCATATATGATATCTCGTAACGGTTTTGAGACTGTGAAAGGTAATGGATCACAGTTGAATGATAATCCAGAGGAACTTGCAGAGTTCTTGGATAATTTGATGGTATATAGAAATACACTCATGTCTTTTAACTGCGTAGATGAATTGAACTCAAGTTCCGTGCTTGAGGCTGTTGCCAAGAGATTACCTGTCCATCTACAAAGGAAGTTCATAAAGGTTTGTTGACGTCTAGAGGAGGAGGGTTTAGAGTCCGGGTTGGATGACATTGTGAGCCTGGTGAAAAACAGTGTCAACCAAGCTTTGAGCAAGTTTGCTAGTATAATGCATCCTACCCCTGGAATAGAGAAATCAGAGAGCAAAATGCAATCATTTATGACGAAGGGGTCTCAGCGTAGTGGATATCGAGAGAGCTGTATGGTTTCTAGTAAACCTAATGATTGTGACAGCTTTAATAATAATAATAATGTATTTCATATAAATTTACAAATTTACATGAAAATGCATGCCATTTTTACAGGCACGATCAAGTATGATATAATATCAAATCGTAGATTATCTACAAGTTAATCGTATTTCAACTGTTAAATATTCGATACATATAATACACTCATTTTCTGAATTAGGCCGTATAGTTATTGAATTGTACAGTTGTCCTCCAGGTTGGGCGGGAAAATCGACTTCGTTCCGTTTTCATCCTGTGGTTGTAGGCATACGATAACCAACCAATATTGAGGTAAGTACACCTTTTACAAGGGATTGGAATCTGTTTTAGAAAAATTAAAGTGCTGAGGTGAATCATTAAATTGTAATGAAATAGGTAAGTGCAAGTA